AATATTCTTCTGTACTTTGTTAAGAGTGGATATTGTGATACTTCAATAATATACAGCAAATTAAAAAAAAAAGGGGTTAACAAGACTTAAAATCATTAGCTGCTTTAGTGATGAGTGGCTGGTACATAAGGGTCGGGGGTGCTGTGAGGAACTTGCTGGGTGAGTGAGGAAAAATATCTCAGTTTGGTCAGCGAGAACCCTGCGTTGAGTGAATTAACAACACGGGGGGAATATATTTTTTCTGCCAGTTAAGGACACATGGAGATGACTCACATCCTAAGCTTATCACTAATCAACAAGAAAGTGGGTTACTGTAATGTATGAAAATTACTGAATAAGAAAATGGAGAAGAGTGGTACAGTATAAACTTGTTTAATTGCACTGTTGCTTGCACTTATACTTAGTACAGTGGCTGGCTTGTTTTGTGAGATGTGACAATACTGTGGAATGATTATCTAGTATCCTTAGTCTGGTTATTATTGCAAAGTTCCTCAAGGCCAACCTCGGAGTTTAATACAATGTATACTAACACAGAGGTGCCACATCTCACAAAATACACCAGCTATTGTACATGATGTAAGTGCAGGCAACTGTACATTGTTTGGTCTTGAAAGATAGTTTAGGATTTTATATAATCTTGATTGTGAACACTTTTAAAAGAAAATTTATCTTGTTCAGAAATCACAATTGCCTATACATGTCGCACAAAACTACTGAACTGTAACTAAAAGAGTCGAATGTTGATTCAGATTTAAAGTTATGAGTTTCTAATTTTTCATCTAATATCATCATACAGTGTATACTTGTAAATATTCCTTATTTTCTCCCTAAATATTAAACTACCACATAATTTCTGTCATCTTCACAACAAACTAAGCTTTAAAAATGTGCATTGTGTGTTGAGTATTTATGTCTTAATACTGTACTGTAACCACAGGTCACTGAATGCCAACATATAAATCACACAGCACAAAGTCTCTTGTGTGTTCACCTAAAAGTGACTGTACTGTATGGGATGACATTATTCACGAAATCATCAGCATTTCTTAAGGTTTGTTTCTCATGGTTGTGTTGTCCAAGTAGGTCTCGTATCTAAAGTCTTACAGCAGATTGTCAGTGTGAGTTCATGACTGTGTTGTCTTTTACTTAAGAGAACCAGATAATCTACTGCCAGATGAGACAGAACATGTATGTGTATGTTTTGTGTATAGTACGTACTGTATATAGATTATACATTAATGAGTGGATAAGGTTCTGATTACTGGCTAGCTAACTACTTTCATACACTGCTAGTAGGTACAGTAGCCAGATTTGGTGGTGATGAGCAATGTTTATTGATACTGTATGGTGAAAAAGGTTCAGTGTACGTAACCAATTGTTTAATCTGGACTGGAAGTCAAGCAAAAACAACATGTGATAATTAATCGTCTGAGCATTATGAAACAAAGGTTATGTTCCTAGAGGAGTTTGGATGCACAAGCCGACAATAAGCTGACGAAGATAGGAGATCAAATAAATAACGGAGATGATATGCGAGGAACATTTAACTGTGTGTTGGAAGGTTTTTTTTTTTTTTTTAATAATAAAAATGAAGAATTTAGTTACTTGGTACTTGGAGAGTCATGAAAGGTGCCATGTTATCAATTGAAGAGAAGGATGACTTGGTCCTCTATAAGATTAGAACCCCCCCGCTTATTCCACCTGATGATTAAATACCCTAATGCTACCTGGGCAGGATTAGGTTAGCAGTAGGGTGTTTAATGATCAGGTGAAAGAAACTGGAGTGCTAGTTCTTGTTTCTATGACTCGACCACTCCTGAGGAACGAACACGTCATTTTACTATCAATTACCGGAAGTGTTGGTACAAGAGATGAAATTCTACTCTTGCCTTTTCACAGGAGGAAGAGGACTTCGTAATTGCTATATGTAAACAAAAGTCATGTCTCCTCTCCTGCTCCATGAGATTCTGACTCATGAATCTGAAGCATCCGTGGGTAGAATAATGCATCAGCCTCTGTAGTTTCTGGAATCTCAACCTTTAGGTTCATGGAGGTGCAGAAGAGGTAATAGGACTTTTGTTTGTGACTAGTGTGTATAGGTGTGTGTCTCTCTCTCTTTAGGAAGAAGGAGTATAGTACTGTACTGTCATGATCAAAATACCTATACTATGTAGAGAATGCTTAGGAGAGGAAGTTGAGTAAATATTGACAAATAATTATACAAAAATAACATTGAAGACAAATATTTATATACATATACAGTACTGTAATATTTTTAAGTATGCACATGACACAGTGCTCGTGATTTATTGTGGACTGCACTTCATACTATGCACATATTTGTGATGTAATGCAAATACTGGGAGCTGTTGTAAGGTGAGCTGACCAGCCACCATTACACGTTGGACGGGAATTTGAGACTAGAGAAATATTCCTCTGTGAGATTTTTTTTTTCTCACTATTGAAGGATTTTATTACATCAAGTTTATCTTCATCCTTGGTCCACGGTGGCCCAGCAACTTGTACAGCATTAATGAATGTTACTCTTGGTACTACATCAAGTGAGGATGACAAGGTAAGGCTTAAGGTGAAGTAAGGAACGCTCAAAGATTAGCACCCCAGCTTATTTCACCCCATGGTTAAACACCCTACTGTTAACTTAACCTAGTGTAACTACCTGTACTTGTCAACCTACAGCTGGTTTTAACTCCCCCAGGTAGTGTTAGGTAGTTTGATCTTCAGGTGAAATAAACTTAAGGGGGCTAATCTTCAGGTGAGCCTAATGCACCTACAAGATAGCCATCACCTGATACTCAGATTAGCATATAAGTGTACCTCTCAACAGTGGTCCCAATTCTAACTAATCTTGTTAATACAGGTATTTAAAAATACAAAAAAATTTATTATCACCAATATTATTGATTGATTAATTTGGTATTTTTCATGTGATATATTTAAAAGTATTGGCCATTATTTATTATATCGTACAAATATGATTTTTCAGCTATGTTTTGCCATAAAACTGCAATATTGTAGTAGTGTTTTTAGAACACTAATTAAATCTTTTATTAATTTCCTGTCTCAACACAAGTCATTTGAACATTGGTATGAAGATCATCGCTCAGAAAAAATTAATAAATGTCCTTTACCCTCTATGTACGGTACTTTAATGTTGTTAATCAAAAGCACTTCAGTCAAAGTGTTCATGTTTAGTGAAGTTGAGTTCTGGACCTTGGCACAATAATGACTAACATCAGTTTTTGACATTTTCAACAACACACCTGCAGGTTGAGTTCAGTCATGTCTTTGTGAATGTGATGTCATGAGTGGGGGTTCTGTGGCAATACATATCTTGGGCCCAGTGTTAAACAATGTCATTATCATTAATATTATGGAGATAATGTACAAATTGCTTCCTTAAGCACCACCAAGTGTTCACTCATTCGCCCTAGATTTAATAATACAAAATCAATTACTAGTACAGTACTGTATTTCTCCTCTTTAAATGTATTCTTGTAAAATAAGTCCTTTATGTTCTGGGGTCCAAAATTTACTTCACTGGTTTTGCCATCAGCCAATTACCTTCACTTACACTCAGAACCATTACATGTATTGAGGAGTAAACATATAGTCCTTGAGTGTTTCAAGTCAACATGCACAGTGTCCACACAGTCATTGAGTGTATGCCAAGTGTCTTACCACTGGTTTAGTAGTGTGTTCAGTGCACCACAACTTTTTGCCAGAAATGTATACCGTACTGTACGAGGCTTTGACAAATACTGTAAGTACTGTTAAATCTACATTATGTACTGGGTATTCCATGACACTAGTTTTATAACTCTGCAAAGAATTGTTCTTAATGGTGTTTTATTCAAGTGAAACTAAGGTTATGAAATTACACCGTTCAGTGCTCACTGTGATCTTTGTATGATGTGGTAGCAGTGTAAGTTTTATGCAACGATGCTGCTCACAGTGTTGGTCTTAATTAAATTACATTATTTATGCTGTATCTAGAGCTGCGACAGTTTTGTATTATGCTTGGGGTCTAATATTTAGTTAACCATAAAGATACACAAATTCTTTGCCATACATGATATACATTGTGACATTAGTATAATACAGTATGTGTTAAAATAAATCAGTCATTAATTATAGACAAAATATATCCATGTTGGCATAAGAATTTGGGCTTGACAATTCTATTCACAGATCAATATTATTATTGTTGGATTGAACAGAAAATACTGTTAAAAAAATTAAATCACCAGTATTCCCTTTCCTTCAATAAATTTTATATATATATATACATACGAGTGTTTCAGTCGAGAATTGGTTCTGTATTATAAGTGATCCTCTTCAGCCGTTGCTGTTAGGCAAGATATTGACCACTTATAACTTTGTTAGCTTGAGAAATCCCATACAGTTTCACTTATGATGTTGTGTTCCCTCTGTACATGCAGCATTGCATCCATTATCAGGTGTACAGTATTTAACAGTGAAACCCTGCCAAGAGGTCTATCAGTTCCCCTTCCCCTCATCACAGCAGGAAAATGGCTTGAATGTCTCTTTCACACAAGCATTTTTTTTTGTCACTGATTTCCAAGTCATAAAAACATTCGTGTGAAAAAGCCTAAATCACGAGAGTCCTTGGTAAAGTTAAGGGAGGGACACTCGATGGACTCGAACCCACACTCTAAGATAATGAATTCAGTCGGTGCCTCATGCTTATCCACATCCCTCACACACTGTAACAAGAGCCCCTTGTATAGTTTTCCAAAACACCAGCGTAGCTTATGGTCTGCAGATAGTCCGTGTTGTATAAATTACATCAGTACAGTACGGTACTCTTTTTGACACACCTGCACAATTGATAATTTTCAGTAATGACTCTACACCATCACACTATCTTTATCTTCAAAGGTCGGGCCAAGAACTGCATTTACCGGCCGACGATACTGCTGGCCATAACGGAAGAGGAGGGTTGAACAACAGGAAGGAACTCTATACCATATTTTTATTTTGTTACCACAGAACATCAACAATGGTAAAAAGAAAGATGAACAACTTAAGATTACCTCCCCCTCCAATTTACCGGGTATTTCACCTGATGATTAAACACCCTAAAGCTAGCTACTGGAGGGATTAAATTAAGTTGAGAGTTACAGCAGCTAATTTTAAGGTGAATTAAGCTGGAAGTTAATCTTCAGGTGATCAAAATAGCACAAAGGTGTGCAGAAACTCGATAGTTATAAATAAATAATCCTTGCCACCAAAGGTAAACAAACAAACTTATCGGAAGTTTATATTCACCGGGACCATCGTGTAAGGTCAATACATTACGATCTATTGATGTTCTGAAATATCACTGAAGACAAAGATAATCACACAATTAACACAATTCGCTGATCATAATTAGACTTAAATAATATCATCATCACCTTTTCTGGTCGTAAAGTCCATAAATATTACCATTTCAGATAGTTATTTAACACTAACAATTTAGTTAATTATCCTTTTTCCACTAACATTTTATATCTTTATACTTTATCAGTGTTAATAATACACATTATTGTTGGGATTTACAATTATTGTATTATCAGATGATTATTCTTTATCCAACATAAATAATACAAAAAAATAATTGTATCATAATGAAAACCAATTAAAGTGAGATAAGTTCTTCAAAATTAGTGCCAGATATCATTATCTTCACTGCCATTAGATACAATTGTTTTATTTATACGACAGTTATCATCTTCCATGTTGTTATCAATTTCACGGAAATCACTCTTCGTTAGGCTCTACCAACGTTTCTCTTCTCTTCCATACGGTGACGTGAGCATTCCCGAGTTCTGCGAGGCGGCGACATCGTGGTACAAAAAATGGCATGTTTTTCTCTTCCTCCAGGGTCCATTTTGGGTCTAACACTTTCTTTAATAGAGAAGGTGTAAGACAGTCTCCTTCTCCTCCCAAGAGTTCTTCTGGACCATCCCTCCAGTTGTATATGTCCGAGATAAATAACATCCCGCCAGCATCTACGTAATCTCCGATATCTGACAGAAATGATTTAGGGTCTTGCATATCTGTGAGTGTATTTGATACCACGACGCAGTCAAACTTTCCACACGTGTACAAAAGGGCACAAACGTCCTCATGCCAGAATACCACTCGTTCTTTCACGGCATCATCAGGTACCCGAACACAGTGGAGAATTATGTGTTTCCCGCCCTCACTAGAGAACGGAGAGCCGAATTCACCAAATTGTTTCAGCTGCTGGGCCGATGCGATCACGTAATAACTAATATCAGTGCCCACAACCTCTCGGAAGTGGACGCTGAGGTTGAATGACAGTCCGCCTGCTCCGCTGCCAACATCCAATACACGAGTTTTTGGTACTCCAATTTCATCACACACACTATTGCAGAACTGGGCCAGTCGTAGGTGGTAATTCTCAGCCTCTTTAGGAATAATTTCTCTTAACAGTGACAAGTCTTCTAAGCTCCCATAATGATGAAACATTTGTCTCTGAATTTCCTTCTGGTCATTATACCTGTCTTGGTAAGTCTTTAGGACTTCTCTTGTGTGATGCCACTTGTACAAGGCTAACGCAGCAACGCCCGTGGTGATCACTACTGCACTTGACAGCACAATACTTGTTGTGTCCATCACTGTTCAATCTGAAATACCAACAAAACCATAAAAGTTCTTAAAAATTATTTCAAAACACAGTTGAAACAATTACAAAATAACCAGGGATATAGAGTTGGGTCAGGTTATCAATATTTTATTTTCTTACATCATTGGGATGGTGAGTTCAGCCCAGCAGTTGCCATGAGTAACTATCTTTCTTGCAAAATACAATACCAACATCAGTTGGAGACCGTGACCAAATGGGTAAAGGGGCTGTTTCTCCCACTCCTGGCCACACTTAACTACCGTACAGTATATTCTACATACTACAGGTTCTATTGCCAATTATCTTTAAAAAGAGATATTTTCCTATACAATACTGTATTAAGGTATGGCAGAGGAGGGGAGAAATGTAGGGTTACTGCACAAGAGAGTTAAAGACAGACAGATCTGATACTCTTATTCAGTAAAAAAAAATTATACATGTTCACACTGGTTCAGCATACACATAGACAATATAGGTAAACAATGTATGGATCACATGAATAAACACCCTAATGCTAACACAACCTAACCTAACCCCAGAGAGCATTAGGGAGATTATTCTTCATGTGATCCCAATGTACGTAGACAGTGCGGGTATACAATGTTGTTAAGGCGAACCACAATTTACCAAGGTTTTTTTTATTTAGTATTATCAATATTGATAATTTGTTTCCTGTTCAGATTAAGACTTAATTCCGGCATTTTACCAGACAGCCTCGTTATGTCAAGGGATTGGTAACAGTTGAGGACAGATACATGACTGAAACAGCAACTTTAGTACATATATAGAAGATAAATGTTTTCTTACCTCCCAAAAATGGCCAAAAAGTTGACAAAAGGAAATGACACTACACGATGTTTCACTGGCGCCTATCATTGAGTTTTTTATTGTAGTTGTTAACAGAAGATACCTTAACTATTATTTCAGGTTACGTAACACTGGGTTGGGTGAGGATATCAATATTTTCGGTGAATTTATAATTTTACACAGGTCTTTCTTTCGCTGTTATTAATACATATCTCGTAATGTTTACACAATTCTAAGACATTTTTCTTCTATGATATTTCTACCGGAAATTAAGGATAACCGCGATATTAATTTTTAAAGATTATTACTTTCGCTCAGTCACAAGTGTCGCAATGATTTGTCGGGGAACGGAAATAAAGTCACATGACTTGTACACATTGAAAGCACAATATATATATGATGGCATTGCACGTATGTTAAGTTAGGTTGGGTTTTTCCGTGCCTTTTTTCTGTGACACTTTTCCTGGATTCGATTTGTTTACTTGTGGTGGAGGTGGTCTGACCCCCTGCTCATGCATCGCTCCAGGCCTCCAACTAGCCCCCTCGGGGGCAACCTAAAAAAAAATCTTTGCTCTTTAGGCGTCTAGAGTTTATGTGCAGGGGGGGGGGGAGGAATTTTTTAATTGGCAATAGCAAAAGGAGTATTTATATTGGGCAAGATTTTTTTTGTTTTATCCAATGAACAATGAGTGGGTGGGTCTGGAGGAAAGATTTGAATGTTTAGTAGGAGACATAACTGAACCGCTGGAAGAGCTGTGCAGAAATTGTGAGAAAGATTATTTTGCCACAACTGCCGAGTTTCACCAGAAAAATAAGAGGCAATTTTTTTTTCATAAAACACGGTGCATCACCAAGTATAGAACAGCATTTTGTCCAAAGTGTAATAAACAGCGTACACTGCGTGAAGAACAACATATTTGGCGGTGTCAATATTTTTCTTCAGCCAAAAAGTAAAAAATGGAAAAGATGCAACTTTTCCGTTAATGATTATAAAGGATTATTGGATTCATATACAGGTTAAGGTAAGATGTGGGGGCATGAACAACGGTTAGGTTAGGCTTTCTTGGTTGTTTGGTAATATAATTTTTTATTCTAAAAAAAATCATCTTTTTCTGTTATGATTATTGGGTGGGGGAAGGTGTGGGGGGTCTAAAAAAAAAACACTGTGATTTCCGGTGTTAATGAATATCAAATTCGTTCGAAACTCATCAAAATACATACGAAAAACCTATTTTTAATATCGAAGTAAAGACCAGTGTGATACCATAAATTGACCAATAATAATTATCGCCTTCTATTATCATCTCTTAAAAATACATACAGATACATCCTGTCAATGAACAGAATTAATGCAACATCTTGGAGGTAAACTCAAAGGAAAATATCACCCCAGGATGTCTAAAAGTCATCAGGAATCCCTAAATGAGCTGCCCTTGTGCCCAACTGTACCTACAATCCCACCCTCTTCTGCCTCTCCTCCCAAACATATGATCAATCGAATAGTTTCCACAGTGTCAGTATTGCTTACCTTTTACTTTATTATTAAGATGGAGGAGGCTCTTTCTCTATCAGTAGACAGGTCACCATTAAGTCACTTTATACTGAGATCTAAAACAAAAAATTTCCTTATCCTGTGTTGTCAACTTGAGGTAACCAGTGTTAGTTTACTACCACGAACGACATTTATGCATATTATATTATTACTCTTTTACAATACTCTTCGAAGTACATGAGATGAATCTAACATAATTTAGCCTAAGTCTTATAATTGTAGGGTAATTTTAGTTTTGTTGATGTTGGTTTTTTTAATATTGGTATTTTTGTCATATTCGTGGTATTCTGTTAACATATATTTTAGCTGGAGTGTTTAGGGCGTTTAAGCTTATAAGGCGAAGTGGCCAGCAATCTCCAATACTAGTCTTAAGCTTATTTAGTAGGAGGGGGTGATAAGCTTATTTAGTAGGAGGGGGTGATAAGCTTATTTAGTAGGAGGGGGTGATAGATAGAGTAGCTATCACCCCCTCCTACTTTACTTCCCGTTTCTATGCTTTACTTCTCTCTCTCTCTCTCCTCTCCTTTCCAAGGGCAAAGTCATTTACCACTTTACTTCATTATCATCAAGCAGTGGCGTAGCTAGAGTGTGTGCCGCCCGGGGCGGCCCTTGAGTTTGCCCCCCGTGCCCCCACAAAAAATACATATTGCACAGTGACTCACTCGTCTTGTCACGATGGAGACTTGTGCAGAACTGAAGTGAATTGCTTGTAACTGGTGGATTGGTCGGCTGTACATGAACTACTATGTAATTTCTTAGATAACAGAAAGGCCAAACTAATCATTGACAACCATCTAGGATAAACCTTCAACCTTTATAGCGGAGTTCCCCAAGGCAGCAATATATCACCAACGTTATATACTGTATATACGGCAGATATGCCGCAACCACGGCAATCAGAATATATAGCATACGCAGATGATGTAACACAGATAATCAGGTACCCGGGAAAATCAAAACAAATGATGGCCATTAGAACATGCAGAGAAATAGAGATAATAAACAACTATGAACGAAAATGGAAGATAAAAACCAATGTCCAAAAACTCCAAATAATTCACATCGCGAAAACGAACCCATGCCCTATTATTATCAACAATCAACAAATACCATATGTTGCCAAGGGAAAAACATTAGGACTCAAAATATCCAGAAGTGGAATAATCCCTCACATTAATGAAAGAATAGCTATGGCAAGAACCCAACTTACAAAACTCAGAAGATTCCTCCAACTGGACACCAACACGCAATTGCACCTATATAAAGCACTGATCAGACCACACTTAGAATACCCTCCGATACCTCTGAACACAATTGCAAGAACTAATCAACTTAAATATCAAGCAGTACAAAATATAGCCCTCAGAAGAGCGGCAAAACACCAACCACCATACACACAAACAGTACAAGACATACACATAGAACACGGCATAGACCCACTCAACATCAGAATACACACCCAAGCAAATGCAATATGGGAAAAAATCCAGCAAGAACAGGATCCCATACTAAACAAATTAATCGAGGAAAACAACAATACAACACACAGATGGTGGCCTAGAAGCAGGAAAAATGATAATGAAGAACCAGAGCCTCTATATACACAATAACAACAAAATAACAACAAATAAGAACCAAAAAGATGGGCACAACTCTCCAGTCACACAAGGACCTGGAGGGACCCCACAAATAAACAGAGACCTAAATAGTTAAAAAAAAAGAAAAAAAAGATGGGGATCATCCCTACAGTGCCACAAGGACCTGGAGGGACCCCCCCCCACCCTAAGATAATATGCCCCAAGGACAACTCGGAATAACTTAGCTTAGCTTGGCTGAGACCGGCCTTCCCTAACCCCATGAACCTCTAATGCAGCACAGTTACGGAAGACAAAAAAACCCGTCTCCGCAAGGTGGATAGCCCACCTGCTGTTAACCTTCTCCTTTACTTCCCACTTCTGAACTTTACCTTGTACTTTTATCCTTCTCCCACTCCCAGAGCTACTGCTCTCTTCTCTCCGTACAACCAACCAACCTGCATGGTTTTGCAGCTACTGGAGACGTTAATCCTTCCCTTTGTATCGGTGGCAAGTGGGTCAGGTGTTAGGTCAGACACGACAAGGATTAACTTGCCGCCGATACAAAGGGATGGATTAACGTCTCCAGTACCTGCAGATATGGGTGATGAGCAGACCCAAAAGTGCCGCCCCCCAAAAGCTACGCTAGTGTCATCAAGCTTATTTTTAATCATATCAATGCCCAACATAGAAAATATATGAAATAAGTAAACTAACAGCCGGTGCAGTGTGAAGAGTAAATTAATAGTTGGAGGAAATAATAAATTAAAACAAAAAAACTCTCACATCCTTTACAACAAACATTCCCACCACAGGCATGCGGTTCACCACTTGCCATGCGTACCAATATAAAGTGGGACCAATGTTCTTCGTTTGTTTTATAAATGATTCGCATCGTACCGTATCATATCACTTTGTCATTGAATCTCTCATCAGCTGCTTGGGCAGTAGGTCTCGTCTTTGTTACACACTGTTGGTAAAAATTAGGTATGCACTGGCAGCTAACGAGCCGATCAGTGGCGAAGAAGATAGTAAATTTGACCAGAACCTGTGCCCGTGTGGTCAACTCTGCCCTCGAGTTACTGAGCTCACACTGCCACCACAACAGAATCTAGTCCCGTTGTTATATCAGTTACTCTCACTGCAAATAAATTTGCTTCTTAAACTTAAGGATGTGACCTGTAGTGGGGTGGGGATCCATTAGCTTCAGATGTCGATAGAGAATTGACCTTTGAGGTGTTTCAATTGATCGGCTCGTTATCCGCTTGGGCGATCGGTCACGTCTCTATTACGCACTGTTGGCAAGTACTGGGCAAACACCGGCTCCTTAATGTACCTGAACCTGCTCCAGTGTTGGTCAAGTCTGGTCTTGAAAGAGCTCACACTCGGTGCCGTCACAACACTCTCTGGCAGATTGTTCCAAGAGTTCACAACTCTCACTCCGAAAAAGTTTGCCCTCACAGTTTTGTGGGGCGAGCGTCCGCCAGCTCCAGGTAAGGACACTCGACTGAGTAGTGCCCCTTGAGATGCTTATACACCTCAATTAGGTCGCCCCTTGCTCGTCTGTAGTATAAGCTAGGCAAGATCAGGCGCTCCAATCTCTCAGGGTAGTTGAAGTGCAACACCGCATGATTCGAGACTCATGACTCGAGTGTCGAGTGGACGGATGTCACGGACAGTGTAGCCACGAAAACAGGCGAGGGTAGAGGTGTGTCATCCCGCGCCTGAAATCCGCTAAGACAAACTCCAGTTCCTCTCATCCAAACACAACGGTAACGGTTATTGTTTTTATACGGTGTGCTTCATTTTTTAGATAACCAAGCTGTAGGTTTGTTTTGATAATGTTTTTGTTTTGTTTTATTAACATCAATATATTTTGATTTAGTGGAATGTTTAAATACTTGAAGACACGTGTATACATGATACTGCCCGGCCCGGCCGGGCGGCTCGTGAAAAAAAAAATGGAGGGACTGCAAGCCTCACACCGAGTCCCCACCAAACAATCAGGGCTGGCGCTACCCACTAGGCGATCGCCTAGGGCGCCAACATCTGGGGGCGCCACAAATTCAGGGCAAACTTGGATAAAATTAAAAATGAAGGGAAAACTGTGGTGGAGGCGTGGAGGGTCGGAGCAAGATGTTAGAAGGGTGGGGGGTCGGAGGGAGGCGAGGGTAGGTAGACGGTAGCCGACTGTGTTTTCTTTTTTAATATTATTCGTTAACCCCCCGGAGGGACTAACCCGGGTCCTTATCTTTGGCGGCCTGGAGAACTGTCGAGCATTGACCTGAAGGCTGACATCTGAGGAACCCTTCTCCCAACCCCACCATCCCCTCCCCTCCCTTACTGCCAGGGCGGCTGAGCCGCCCCTTCCCTGTCTTTGTCGGGATGAGGCAAGGTTACCTGACCTCTGAAGTTTACGTCAAGAATTTATTGACTTAATGTAATAACAATAATTGGTTATTTGCATGGGTGAAGTAATAAAGCCACAAGATGAAAACAATGTAGTCATGGGTTACTGTACCTACATTAGCTTATCAAAACTTTCAAGGGGGCGCACATCTAAAGGCTTGCCTAGGGCGCCAAATCATCTTGCACCGGCCCTGCAAACAATAAGCATGGAAAGCAGAATAAAGTATTTGCCTCGTCACAACCACAGAGCCATTCACATTTCTGATAAACACTGATGTTAAACTGGCGTGTATATTCTTTGTTCCTGCTTGTACTGTTCTGAAATTCCATGCTTATTGATTGGTGGGGACTCGGTGTGAGGCTTGCAGTCCCTCCACTTTTTGTTTCACGAGCCGCCGGGGGCCGGGCATACTGGTGTGTGTATATGATACTTTAGTTCATGTGTACGTGATACTTGAGCTTTGAGGTGATGTGAACTGTTCTACGTGATACCTGAGTTGATGTGTTGCGTGAAGCCTCTTTCCCCCTCCTCCTTTTCCTTCCCCTTTCCTTTTCCCCTCCTCCTTTTCCTTCCTCCTTCTGTTAGTGAATAATAATGTATATTGTTGCGTGTTATGTGTTTATTTATGTGAAGCTTAGTTATGTGCTCCCGTGAGAGATATATACTGTGTGTTCTCTCTACTTGAGAAATGGTAATACTAACAGATTTCACCAAAATTTCTCTCAAATTCCTTTACAACTAAAAACCTGGAACGTCAATGTGGCATTTAAAAATTCATGCACTGTAAAACAAATGTTAATCAAGAACCCCCCCAACTGAAGAGGTCTTATTGCAACTTGAAGAGGTCTTATTGCAACTCTGAAGAGGTCTTATTGCAACTATATCTTGCGTTAGTCAGGCCACACCTCGATTATGCGGTTCAATTCTGGTGCCCCTATTATAGAATGGATATAAATTCACTAGAGTCGGTGCAGCGAAGAATGACAAAAATGATTCCGGGACTTAGAAACCTTCCATATCAGGATAGGCTAAAGAAACTTAACTTGCATTCCCAAGAAAGACGAAGAGTGCGGGGAGATATGATAGAAGTATTTAAGTGGGTGAAAGGATTCAATAAAGGGGATATAGATAAAGTTCTTATAATATCCGAGCAGGATAGGACTCGGAGCAACGGATTTAAGTTGGATAAGTTTAGGTTTAGGAGGGAGATAGGAAGAAACTGGTTCACAAATAGGGTGGTGGACGAGTGGAACAAGCTTAGCAACTTTGTAGTAAGTGCGGGAACGCTGGAAAGTTTCAAAAGGAGGCTAGATAGATTCATGGACGATAGAGAGTGGTAGTAACTCTCGACAGGAGCTGCCATGCACAGGCCAACCGGCCTATTGCAGACTCCTTATTTTCTTATGTTCTTATGTAACAATGCAGGCGGCTGCATTTACAAGGTTCCTTGCAAGGATAATAAGCATTGCATTGACTGGGATAATGCCTCCTCAATATTACCTTGTAATTCAATTGACAGTAGGAACATTATAGAATCCAGTCTCATTAAACATACCGAATCCGTCAACATGAATTTGAGTAATGTTATGTACAAACTGGATAATTTCGTAATTAAGAAGATTTGTAACCAGGTGAGAAGGTTGGGCCATCTTACCCTCTGACCTGACTACCGACTGCTGCGGTGCTTATGAAGATTAATAGGGTCATCGCCTAGTGACCGGACCATTGTGGACACTCACTGCCCCCTAGGGTCACACTCTCCTCTACTGTATATATATGCCTTGTTATGTATTTCTGAAGAATGGTAATTTTTGGATGCCACAGTATACGGGAACGTTTTGACACCCATTACTGTCATGTTTTTCTGGGAAGACTTTATTTATAAAATGGGGAATTAATGAATTGGTAAGAAGGTACCGTTCTATTATGTGTATGTGTGTGTGTTTGGTTTTTCCAGAGTTGTGCTTTCGTAGTGGAAAGTGAAGAAGAATGACGTTGAGGATATGCATAGTGTTGGTGGTGGTGGCGGCCATCACCCAACAGAATTTCATGACTGAAGCTGGAGGTAATTTTTTTTCGGCCTCTTTATTTTACCAAGTTCTGACTGTTAAATTATTTTTCAATGTACTATTTATTATTCAGTAAGATCATCAAAAAAATTTACATTGATTCAGCAAGCACAGAACTGTATATAGCCAATGTCTATAGGTATACAGTATACATAGAAAGTGCAGGTATAAAAAGAATGGTAAACTAATTCGGTTGACCAAAGAAAGCCAACAAAGCCATCTGATGCTTATTTCCAGGAAGGTAAGGGGGGGGGGTGTTTGTTATGTAACCAGGGATACAGGTCATGATGAGACGAGGCATAAATGGGACATGTGAACTAAAGTACTAACCAAACCTAAAAAGCTTTGTCCTGATATAAGCAGTAGAACCATGATTGTCTTTCACATTCATTCTACTGTACTGTATAGTGATTACCACAGTTCCAGACTCTGAATGTCACTGCCTAAGTACAGAAAAGGAGTTCTTGGACCCAGAAGGAAACAGTGACACAGTCTTCTTAAAGCGTGGAAAACTCGGTGAAGAAGTGAAGATAGAATGTTCACTTGAAGACAGCGGCACCTCTACCTGGTTCTGTACCTGGGACTGTACCTGGATAATGACCAGGTGAGGCATTGTCAGGTGGATGTAGAATAAATTGCACATGGCATCATATTATCATTGTTGTAGTATATCAACTGAGTGTAGATATATTACTTTATATAACCGTGAAAATAAATACAAAATAAATGGTGGTACTGCATGTATTTAGAAAGCAGTCATTATTCAATATATTCTTAGTATATGACATTGTTAAATGATTTCAATACTAATAAGGATTTATAATACGGGTACAGAACTAGCCTACCCCACAACCTAGTGGTTAAGGTGAGGCTGTGTTAGGTTAGATTTGGCTGGGGATTAGGTTAGGTTAGGTTAGGCTGGGGATTAGGTGGTGTTAAGTTAGGTTAGGTTAGGTTTGGCTGGGGATTAGGTGGTGTTAAGTTAGGTTTGGTTTACTGGTTAGATTAGGGTAGGATACACTATGTTAGGTTGGATTAGACTAGACTAGGTTGTTCTAGGTTAGGTTTACTGATTACTTTAGACTGTGTTAGGTTGGGTCAGGTTAGAATGGGCTGGGGTTTACTCTGGAGGGAAGAAGTGGGAACTCGGGTAGTTTGGTTCACTTAACCTTATGCCCCCAATATATATATTAGCTTACCTACTTTATTATCTGTTAGTTACACAGATTCTGGTAATGGTGTTTAACTGCGCTCACTTCGCCTCATTAACACGAGTAACTACTAATGCCCAGTTGTTAACAAAAATAATTTGGAGACAGGTAGACGGTGCATGGGAGGATAGGGGTAGGTGGAGACTTGACAATATGGTAATTAAAAGTCTGAGATTTTCTTTCATTACCACATTTTTTTTATAAGGCAGACAACTTATACTCTCTCCCTGTCATTTTTTCCACATATACTGTACGTAGGTAATGATGGCTATGGTACAGAACTCTGATGCTATTTGAACTCTAAATCTACAGTGGCTGTAATGGGAAGACTGTGTTTGTAACTACAACCACCTATAGCCATACAACTGAAACTGAACCTCTTACAACTGATAATCTGTTACTGGCGTGCATTAAGGAATCCAAGTGTACCCCTGATTTAATTTTACTTATGGTATGCATAAGTTGCGTTGGGTCAAAACAACCCGCCATCGGGGACAACAACTGCAGACAACTTTGCTATGAACTAGAAGAACAATGTCCTGTATCTTGGAATGATTGCAAAGACAAATATTACCCTACAGGCAAGTGCTATTTTCCTTTTGAATAATAGAATTAAAACTTGTAATATTTGAGACATCTGTGTTTCTTGTGTACTCTTTATATAGATAAAGAGAAGCATTCTTATATGATTGAAACTACCCTTGACAATTTAATTAATTAATTCAAACATAACACAGACTATTCCAATAAATATACATATAACCTTACATCATTTTCAATGTATCACTCTTTCTAAATAGATAAACTTTTCGAAGCCATCATGAGTGAGAACATCTCCGCTGTCAGAGATGTCCTGGAGGAGGGAGTTAACATCAACAACATCGTCAAGGGTACGGTACCCCGCAGCTTGACACTCTTCACACTTTTTAGTTTTGTTTAACTTGTTTAGATCTTCATATTTTGATGTTAAATGTACAGCATTAGTCCCAATTCTGTCTTCTTCACACCTCACTTCGTTTAACCCCTTTCTCAAACTCCTTCCTGTTAGTACAGATTTACGAATAATAACTACAGTACAGGGTAGTGCTGCTAGTGTGGTGTTGGTAATAGAGGAGAATTGGGTTGTTTTCTGAGTACAGTACTCTTATTGTTGTCACTGCAGATATGACTCCTCTGGTGCTGGCAGTAAAGCTCAACTGGATTGCCTTAGTGAACCTCCTCCTCACACACTGCCCCGACCGCTCGCTCAGTGTCACCACAGGTTAGTTCTGCCTCTTTACCTACAACCATATGTCACACATCACACCACACCATCCCATGCTAGGCCATGCCATACAACACCACACCATCCCATGCTAGGCCATGCCATACAACACCACACCATCCCATGCTAGGCCATGCCATACAACACCACACCATGCCATACAACACCACACCATCCCATGCTAGGCCATGCCATACAACACCACACCATCCCATGCTAGGCCATGCCATACAACACCACACCATCCCATGCTAGGCCATGCCATACAACACCACACCATGCCATACAACACCACACCATCCCATGCTAGGCCATGCCATACAACACCACACCATGCAATGCCAAACCACACCAAGCTATACTTTTGCCATTTGCCAGTGGGCTAGACTCTTAACTAAGGTTAGACCACAAAGAAAGCAAGTTACCCACTTGCTGGTAGGCGGACACAGAGGACGCAGGTTTATCTGCGAGTTGTGGTCGAGTTGTTGAACAGTAAAGATTTCTAGCTCGTCATTTGATGAAGATTTTCTTTTGCTCGATAGTGCTTATGCAAAAATCAGGAGAAAAAGTGCTGGAATAATAAATTAAATCAATCGCAGTCGAGAAAATTGCAGTGAATGTCAACATCTTTTTAGTGAGCTAAAAGGGGGCCCAAATAGGCTTTCTTTTTTTTCAATACAATACACTGACGATCAAAACCTCTACTTCCACCATGACAAAACATTCATAAGAACACCTCGCACAACTAGCACCACCTCAACAACACGTCCACCTGCACGGGCAAGTGCCGTCGGGCTTCAACATGCTTCTACTGTATATGTCCGTGCTTGATAACATGGTCACATTCATGACGCTTATCAGTGTTGGTCGACGCTGGTAACCTGCTTTCTTTGTGTTCTTACCTTAACACCTGTAAACACATCCCTACTTGACCTACTAATGCATAGATCTCCCAATTTACTCTCACCTGTAGTGGTACTCACAGTCAGTTCCTAACCTTCAGTGTCTTCCTCAGGAATGAATGCCACAACACTTGCTCAGCGTGAAGGACACACAAACTTGACAGATATCCTTGAAGGTAAGTCTTGATCGTATATTAGGTTTCCATTACGTTATGTTAGGTTAGCATTAAGTTAGGTTATGTATTAATTTTGCATTAGGTTTACATTAGGTTCTTGACATAACAGTTGGACAGGTTCTCTGACAAGTCCCAGGTATGTCGAGTTCATATCCTTGACATAATAGAGCCTGTGACACTACAGGTTCATGACATGAAAGATTGAACTGGTCTCTGACACTTGGTTTATAACATGATAGTGTGGCCAGCTGTGTGACATCCATTAGCCTTCATGTGACACGGTGCCTCACTCTGTAGCTTGTATGTGTGGCACAATGCTGGACTGTTGACCATGGCTGGATGCTAACCCTAACCAAACTAAACCTAACCTATTATTGATGAATTTTGAGATAGTGAAATAATAATTAATAAACTCATACTTTTAAAGACTTTTGACAATATTTTTGATGTCTTACAGATCAATCTTGGTGTCAGTATTGCCCACCAGAGGAGAGAGTGTACGTAGATTAAAGAATTTATAGATACTGTACTGTACTGTATATATAATTTGGGGGAGTTCCAGTATTGTGACATTTTTATACATAAAAAATAACTACAGCACTCTATATACAATTGAATAGGGTATTTTTTAAGAGTTCTCGGTTAATTTTAGAATTTTTAAGCTACAGTATACACATTTTTATAGAATCTTTGTTGTATGTAATTACAGTTTTGTGAGTTTTTTCTAGTTCTGGAAAATTTTAAATATTCTGTTACAACTGCCAAATTTCATACAGCTGTCACATGTGTCATACAGGAGGTGTGTGGAACAGGTGCCTTTGAAGCTGAAAGACAAGAGTAATCTGGTTAATATCACTGGGGAGTTGGATACTTTAGAGAGCGAGTTTGAGAAAGCGTTTGAAGCTGCTGGGAGAGTTGAGGAGAAACAAACAATAGCAGAGGTAAATAAAAGTAAAATACAGGTATATTGAAACTGTTGAAGAAAAGTAACATTACTAGTTCATTAAGATTTAAATATATTGTGATTGTTGAAGAGAGAATAAAAACCACAGGTACCAAGATGTTTAGTTAACATTTAAGTATAGTTGATATCAAGGGTTCTTCCTCTAGGACTCCAGTTGCAGATTTCTTACCTTAGCTAAACTTTAATTTTTTTTTTTTTACTTTTATCCTCTTCGAAACTAATCGGCTCGTTAGCCCCTTGGGCGGTTGGTCACGTCTCTGTTACGAACTGTTGGTAAGTACTGGGCATGCACCGGCTCCTGAATGTATCTGAACCTGCTCCAGTGCTGGCCAAGTCTGGTCTTGAAACAGCTCGCACTTGATGCAGTCACAACACTCTTTGGCAAGTTGTTCCAGGAGCTCAAAATAATCACTCTATAAAAGTTTATCTTCACAGTTTTTTGGACGTATGGCTTTTTCAACCTTGAGCTGTGACCCCTTGTAAGGCAGGCGTCTGCCAGCTCCAGGTATGGACACTCAACCGAGTAGTGCCCTTTGAGATGTTTATACACCTCAATTAGGTCTCCCCTTGCTCGTCTGTAGTATAAAGCGAAGCATATTGCAGGCACTCTAATCTCTCTGGATAGCTGAGGTGCTGAAGTGCAGGGAGCAGTCTGGTGGCCCTCCTTTGGACATTTTCAATCAACTGACAGTCCCTAGCATATCTCGGGGACCAGACAATACTCCAGGCGGGGAAGCACCTCACTCATGAAGATCGTTATGAGGGACGGACCATCTAGATATCTGAACGACCTTCTTATATGACCTAATAACTTAGTTGCTTGATTCACCTTCTTCTCACAATGGCTCTAAAACTTCAGTTCATTGTTAACATTCACACCCAGGTCCTTTTCACATTCAGTCTCTTCGTCTCGTTGGGACATATAATACGTCCTCTAAAGCATAACTGACTCCTTTAGCTATTTAAGTTGTGAATAAATATGTACCTACATATATTCAGAACCGAACTTAATGCTAACTTAACACTAACCTCACTGTGAACTAAGATAACACTAACCTAACATTAACCGCACCTCACCTCACCAGCATAACCTCATCTAACACTAACATTACTTTACCTAACATTAACCTCACCTCACCTCACCAGCATAACCTCATCTAACACTAACATTACTTTACCTAACATTAACCTCACCTCACCTCACCAGCATAACCTCATCTAACACTAACATTACTTTACCTAACATTAACCTCACCTCACCTCACCAGCATAACCTCATCTAACACTAACATTACTTTACCTAACATTAGCCTCACCTCACCTAATTTCCACAGACATACATGAAGACTGTCTTAGAGGTATTGGACAAGTCAGAGCCAGAGACATGGATTGAGATTGACGAGGAGACATGTGCCAACACCTCCACTATCCTACAGAAGAGTGTTACTAGAGCTGCCCTAGCTATTGCCTCCACTCTACAGAATGCCACTATCACCATTCCTTCATCATCTACATGTGAGTCTCTCCTTCCCACCCTTTACTAAGATTCATCAGAGGAAAGATTATGTTTGGTGCAGGTGTATAAACAATGTACCTAGACAATGTAGATATAATGTACAAACAAAAGAGACATAATTATTAATGCATTTGTGTTGTTGTTGTATTTACAGATACAATAATATCACGGCAGAATCCTAGTTACTTCACACCCAAGAATCGCACATACCATCATCAGAACTCACCAAATACGGCTATTGAACTGCCAGAGAACTTCTATGAAAACTACTTAGACGAAGATGGCCTTCTTACTGTCATTTTCTATTCCTACAATGACCTCCACTGTGCTACTAACTCCATTCCCTGGTGAGTCAAGCTATGTGGAGTATTAAATATGATAGAGAGGCATTGTGGAGTGTTAGCTTACAGAGGCATTGTGGAGTGTTAGCTTACAGAGGCATTGTGGAGTGTTAGCTTACAGAGGCATTGTGGAGTGTTAGCTTACAGAGGCATTGTGGAGTGTTAGCTTACAGAGGCATTGTGGAGTGTTAACTAAGATACTGTAGTCAGGTTACGGTAGCTATTGGTTAGGTTAAGTTAAATTAAGTTAGGTTTGGTTTGATTAGATTAGTGTTCGGTTAGATAAGTTCAGAGTACAGTAGTTAATATTCATATTCAGATGAACAAATTTGATTATTTTCAATGATTGACCCGACCTGACCTCTCTACAGTAACCCCAATGTAACTGTGCCCTCCCATGTGTCGAAGGCGAATCAGGTCAACAGCATGATAATTGGTGCCACAGTGACAGAGAGTGGTGCTTGGACGGCAGGTAAATATCCACTGTCTGTGTTTACCTCTTTCTCACTGTTGCCTATGGTCAGCTTACAGTGTTTTGTGACAGTTTGATATATGAGCTGACTGAAAAGTCCCTGTGCACCTGCTGTAATTGACAATACTGTACTATTCTTCCTTGTTATATCTATATTGTTATACAGCTTGTTCTACTTACAGTAAATATTGGATATGTTGTCTACTTCCATCAGTAACTATGACTATTTCCAATATTTGCTGTAAGTAGAACAAGGTACAGCATATCCTTAAAATTCCCGTGGGTTTGGGTCTCAAAATGTACATTCCCTTTACGTTTTGCCCTTAGGACAATGGACAACAGTATTGTTGGTGCACAGGGGACTTTTCGATCACCCTGTTCATGAGCTGAAGATGATAAGTTTATCTAAGATGTCTTCATAAAACACTCGCCTCCTTTCCTGAGAGTCGTTGATTTGAGTCTGGGGAAGTGGGGTTACCTTGAGTCCAGTGCAGTGCAGGTCATACTGCCTATTTGTGTACCAAAGACTTAATATGGGATGAGTCACTGGCTGGTAGCCCCTTGGGTTATACTATATGATATCTTTGTGGTTTGTGTATCATTATCAGTAAAGTCTTTGATATTATCGTCTCAGGTCTCTCTCTTTTTTTTCTCTGTTCTTTGTCTCCCTCTCTCTTCGTCTCTCTCTCTCTCTTTGTTTTCCTTCTCTTTCTCTTTCTTTAACTTAATCTAACCTAAACCTAACCTCATCTAAACTAACTAAACAAACAAACTTAAACTAACCTAACCTAATCTAAACTTAACCTAACCAAATCAAACTTAATCTAAACCTAATTTAACCTAAAATAAACCTAACCTAACCTAATCTAAATCTAACCTAACCTCCTCAGTCGACGGAGAGGGTGTAAGAATCCACTTTGATCATATCTACAAGAACGACGACTCATACAACCTTGGAAAAGCAAGTTGTGTGTGGTGGAATGAAGACACTAATAGCTGGTCCAATGAGAGATGTTCACTCATATCCCAAACAGAGAACTACACCATATGCACCTGTGACCACCTGACTAATCTAGCTGTTATTATGGATATTCATGGTGTGTTGGACGAAAATCTTCAGGTGAATATGAGGTTATGGGGTTCGGTATCTGCATCTACGTGTCAACAGGTGTTATAATTATGTATCAAGTGTTCTAGCTATTTATCGACAGGTGTTATAGTTATGTATAAACAGGTGTTATAATCATTCATGTATTAACAGGAAATCCTTAGGTGGTGGACCATCATAGGCTGCAGTTTATCCATGTTGTGTCTGACAATGTGTATTACGTGTTTGTCTCTGGCAGTGAAGTCATTTAAGGTAAGAGATATAGATGTTGATGTTCTTTTGTTTTTGTTTTTTTTGTCTTGCAGTGTGTGTGTGTGTGTGTGTGTGTGTGTTTTGTTTATTGCTCTTGCAGATTGTTTTGTTTACTGTCGATTTATTCACCTTTTGTTTACAAGAACCAAAGTGGAAGTTGTATGATCTCGATCCACCGTCACCTGTGCGTGTGTCTACTGGTGGCCGAGTTGGTACTCCTGTCGGGGCTGGACGCTACTCATGACACCATCGGTTGCGCAGTAGTGGCCGCCCTCCTCCACTACTTCTTCCTTGCCACCTTCACCTGGTCTGCCATCGAAGGTGTCAACTTGTACCTCATGCTTGGCGCAGTTAGTATAATAGTAGCATGATGTAGTTATATGTAGTTTTTATATATACTGTACATATATTTCATGTAGATCCACAATGGAAATGTGGACAAGATAAGTCCCGATTAAACCACACAGTTTCCCTTTTCCTGTCTGGTTTTATTGATACATATTAAAGGTGCTATAGATACATGTGTCCTCCTTACAAAGTTTAAATGCATTTGTCAGCTGACCTGCATGTACTGCATGACTTCAGATATTTTCTTATGACATTGTGTGATTGCTTGTGACATTATATTTTTCGATATATGTTTTAATAACGTCTTGAATTGTTCTTAATGACATTATGTGCTTTCTTTTTACATTTTGTGTTTTCTTATGAAGTCACATATTTTATTATGAAGTCACATGTTTTCTTATGACGCCATATGGTTTTCTCTTGATATCATCAGATTTTCCGAACATTCGAACCGGCGAAGTACTTCTGGTGTGTTGGCTACGGCTTCCCCCTCCTGTTTGTGGGCATCACGCTCATAGCAACACAGACACATGGCTATGGTACTGAGAGAGCGTGAGTATTTTAACGCCTTGATGGGTCAGCTGACTTTTTTCTCCTTGGACTCGTGTATGTAGCAACACACTCCTTCTTGCCAAAGTGTTCTTGTAAATTCACAGGTGATATAAAAATTCCCTGTGCACTTGTGAAAATGAACAATATATTTGTTCCATTTTAATATGTACTATCGTGGACAAAAGTTCTCTCCCTGTGGTGAAACTGAGTCACGGGAATGAGTCTCCGAACTGACTTACCCTGACAGTCATCTGGTGCTGGTGTGTTGTTTTATCTCATTTGGGGTCGACACTGCTTCAGTTTGGGAGAGAGCGAACTTTTGTCCACGATAGTACAGTGTACTGTACTTTGTTATTATGCCTTGTTCTACTGAGTAAATATTGGAAATGTTATCCACTTCCAATATTAACTGTTACCACTTTCAGTGTTTGTTGTAAGTAGAGCAAGGTGTGTAATATAATAGGTATAACACGGAACACTGATAGTTTTCATTGTTACAGGTGCACAGAGACTTTATGATCATCCTATGTTGGTGTCAATCCTGTGATGACTAAGTGTTGTGTTGTTTTGTCTTCTCTCAGGTGTTGGCTGGAACCTAAAGGGTTGATCTGGACCTTCGCAGGACCTGTGGCTATCATAATGCTAGTAGGTTATATCTTCTAAGTTACTGATATATGATTTGGCATCACCTTAAGATTAGCTCCTAATTTATTGTATCTGAAGGTTAACCACCCTAATTTTAACCTAACTTGATCCAACTTGACCTAACCTAATACAACTTACCTAACTTAATGCTAACCTAATACCGTACAACTTGACCTAACCTAATGTAACACTGACCTAATGCAACTTTACCTAACCTAAAACTTCATAACCTAATCTAATTTACCTAACCTAGGTATCATTAGCATGATTAATCACCAGGTGAAATAAACTGGGGGCTAATCCTTATGCGATCCACAATTTCTTCCCCTCACCTGGTGAAAATTATGAGCTTTGAGTGTGCGTGGGAGGCATCAGGTTAGGTTAGATTAGGTATGTCAAAGATAGTATTACAGTGGTTAATCTTAAGGTGAAATAATCAGGTTAGGTTACGTTACATTAGATTATATTAAGGTTGGCATTACACTGGTTATTCTTAAGGTCAAATAAACAGCTGAGGTGAGGGAAATATTCTGCAGGTGATACAATATCTTCTTGTCTCTGCAGTTGAACCTGACATTCTTCGTGTTCGCTATGAGGGTGGCATGTGGGAAGCGTCAGATCGGGAATTCATTTGTCAAGAACAATCGTGTGAAACTCAGAGGCTCCTTCGCCCTTATTCTGATCCTCGGCCTTACCTGGATCACCGGGTTCTTCTACGTAACCAAAGGTAAATACAGGTACATCTTGTCATCTTGTTATCGCCAAAGGTTTAGTTATCCTGTTATTGCCAGAGGTTTAGTTATCCTGTTATTGCCAGAGGTTTAGTTATCCTGTCATTGCCAGAGGTTTAGTTACAGTATCTTTTTTTTCATAATCAAGGGTGACGTGTTATCTTTTTTTCATAGCCGAGACTCCTTGAGGACGATGGTTTAAGCTTTAACTATTTGAGGAGGATAAGTTAGTCTATATGTCTTCTGGGGATCAATCCATCGTCCTCAAAGGGTTATAGCTTAATGTGTCCTCCTCAAAGAGATATATTTAAATAACCACCATTACTGAAGAAGTAGCTGTGGCAGTGTTATTAATACCAACATGTTTATATTATGATCTGTATAGTGTATCTCTCTCTCTTGCCCCTCAGGTTCACAAGCTCTCGCCATCATCTTCACCATCCTCAACTCACTGCAGGGCGTGGGCATCTTCGTCACTATGGTGTGTTTAAATGAGAAGGTACTTAAGACTGTAACATCTATCCCCGTCGTCAGGAGAGTCTTACGAAGGGTAGGTCTTTTTAGAATGGTTCTGTTTTGTTTTCACTCCTTCATGCACTAAGGTCGTGACCAACAAAGATTCCATCGTTCTCTAATCTAATCTAAATCTAACCAAAGGTAACTTATTCTAACCTAAATTAACCTGACCTAATTTAACCTAAACTAACCTAACCTAACTTGACCTTCAGTTAAACTAATGTAACTTATCCTAACCTAACTTAACCTAACCTAACATATCCTAATTTAACATAACCTAACAAACCATACTTGATCTTTTCTTTGTTTTGAATGCGTAACTTACCTCAAAAGGACTAGTAAACACAATGAAAAAAATCTTATTCTTATTATTTTTATCATTGTTGTTGATGATATTCTTAGTAGTAGTATTAGTGTTGCTGTTACAGGGTATCAATTTTCTTTTTTTTTTCATAGATCAGAAGAGAAAGTCTCCCGGATAACCAACCTAACCAACTGAACATTGCTCACACTGAAGAAGTCTCCTAAATAGACAGCTAATACCTCTGTAGTCAAGATTATACTGGCTAATGCTTCCCCCAACCACCTCACCTAACTGACACCAAAGTTACCATGGCTAAGCCTTTGTATATATTGAACCCGTGTAACCTATGATTCACAGGTGTAATGTACAGTCAACTACCTAGCTCTGTTAGCCCCTTCACCTGAACCATGAACCCTAAGATTCAGACTTGGGAACCCGAAGCAGTAGTCTCATATATTATTCTGTCCATAAATGTTTCGGGTTCAGGTGTCTGAATCTCGGGGTTCATGGTTCAGCGGGAGTGGCGAATGGACTTCATTTGTCTGATGTACTGTATCAAGTAGGTTTTTTTGGTGTGTGTGTGTGTGTGTGTGTGTGTGTGTGTGTGCATTACAAGTGAAGGAATGGTATAGCAGTGTAATAACCTTTTAAAGATTATGGGTTAACCTTTTTTGATGGTGTTTTTAACCCTTTCAAGAACTACATTTAAAGCTTTCTTCCTTAAGGTGTTAAACCATCGTCATCAACGTGTTAAACCATTATCATCAGAGGATTAAACCATTAGCATCAGAGGATTAAACCATTATCATCAGAGGATTAAGGATGAGAGAAAGGATAGGGGTTAAACAATAAACATTACACAGGTATGGTAAAAACTCATTGTTGACCAGGATTGTGTATGAAACAGTACAATTTCAGTGAATAAGTTCCATGTACATTACCTCAGAGTATTGAATAATATGAATATATGAATGTGTATAGTTCTATGATCGACTGATTGTTATGCACGGTGTATGAAATTAATCTGTATAAGGTTCTGATTTGATAGTATATGAGAAGCAGTAATGAAGAACAGTTACCTAATTAGTCTTTGTCATATGTGTTGGATAGTAGTTTGGTGTAGTGAAGGCCTTGATGTTACTGTTAGGTGTTCTGGGTAATAAGTTCTATATACAGGAGAGAACACAAACACCTGTATAGTTTTGTAGGTTCGGTTTACTGGATAAGAGTATGTACACAGAGGGGGGGGGGGGTAGCACTCCTCCCAGCTAGGCTCCTGGTCAGCTGCTGTAGACGACGTATGGCAAGTGATACATTAGCAGCTTCCACACGTCGCCGGGCACATTAATTAAGCATGTGGGATATGGTAATAACATTGCCACGCGCTGCTAGCTAGGCTGAATGAATAATACATAAATGGAGCACATACATAATATACATACATAATATATAATCCAGCATACATAATATACATACAGTTACCTCGACACAAATTGATGCCCAGGCAAGTAATTAGTATGAAAGTTGTTGTAAATACTAAAAAATGTCTCCTGTTATCCTCAAATACTTATATATATATATATACAGTAATCCCGTGTTTTTCGCGGGTTTTTTAATCGTGGTTTTGACCATTTGCGTTTTTATACTGAAAAATAATATACTGTATGTATAAAATATTCTTTAAAAACAACAATTTTAATTTCACGCCCACACGTGCCTACCGTACTGTGAACGCTACTGTGTTTACCTCTTCTGTATGAGTGGAGAGCATGGCGTGGTTAAGTGCATGACCTACCTGAGATGTTTGGTGGCCACAGGTACAGTGATTCCTAAAAGAGTATTTGCGGTTTTGGCTTTTCGTTGGGGTTTCAGAAACGTAATTCCCGCAAAAAACACGGGATTACTGTACTGTATATCATAAATGTGTTTGTTTGTTTTGTTAGTTTGCATTTATTTATCTTGTATCATAGTTCATTTCCGTTGTTGATTTGAGTTTTGATTTTGTTATCAGTATTATTATCATTATTATTGTCATTATTATTATTATTATTACAATTTTAGTTATTATGTTTTATTTTCCACCACCTAGTACACACGTTTCGTCCTTTCTCACTGTCCTAACCTATCCTTACCTTATCTAGCCTAACCTAACCTTAAACGAAATAGGTAATAGGTAGTTAAGACCAATTGTGCACCTTTTAACTTTACTGTAATGGCTAATATATATTCACTAAACTTTTGGTAATCTTATATTTAACAAGAGTAAAATGACAAGCGCCATTGTTGACATCGAGGAACTTTCCGATGTACCCGATACATTTTATAATTTATCGTTCAAATAAACCCAAACATAACTACTTAACCTAATTTAAATTTGAGCTTCACTCAAATATTTTATTATATGATGAAGTTTAGGTAGATTACTTTGGTTCTATTTTATAAATGGTAGATTATAAATGTAGCGGTACAGGTTATCTGGTGCTTTGGTATATTCCCAGTTAGGTCGAATAAGAGACAGTGAAGTAGGAGGAGGAAGAGTAGAAGAGAAGGAACAGTAAGAGAAGAAGTGAAGTAGAAGGAAGAGAGAAAGTGAGAAATTACTAAATAATCTCAATGCAGCACCACTTTCACACACATACAAAAGACTGAGAACAGACAGGCAAGGGGCGACCTAATTGAGGTGTATAAGCATCTCAAGGGGCACTACTCAGTCGAGTGTCCTTACCTGGAGCTGGCGGACGCTCGCCCCACAAGGGGTCACAGCTCAAGATTGAAGAAGCTGCAAGTCCAGAAAACTGTGAGGGGAAATTTTTTCGGAGTCAGAGTTGTGAACTCTTGGAACAATCTACCAGAAAGTGTTGTGACGGCACCGAGTGTGAGCTCTTTCAAGACCAGACTTGACCAACACTGGAGCAGGTTCAGGTACATTAAGGAGCCGGTGCTTGCCCAGTACTTGCCAACAGTGCGTAACTGATCGCCCAAGCAGCTAACGAGCCGATCAGTGGAGAAGAGAATAAAAGTAAAAAGATAACAAAAAATTTGGGAAATAAAAGTATTGTAACTTAGATTAAAGGCAAAATAGTGAATAATAAACAAATTTATTTGGGATAATAGGGAATATATGTGCTGATATAAGGCATAATAATACTGTAACACTAAAAAGATATTGGCCAAGTCTATCCTCAGTAAATGTTAAGATGTGGTGTTGAGTGAAATAACCTGAATACTGTATTACCCTTCCCCCACCTTATTTCACTTGATGATTAAATACCCTAATGCTATCTTAGGGTAGGGTTTAGTTAAGATAGGTTAGATTGTTGTATTAAATTAGTGTTAGGGGGTGGTTAATCACCAAGTGAAATAACTTGGCAGTGGACTAATAATAATTACATCAGCGAGTCAGAGAAGAACATTAGATTTTTTGATAGAGTGAAATATTTAACTTACACGAGGATATGAGAACCTTGATGTAGACATATGAGAGCGGATGAGTCAGAGATGGGAGGTAGGACAGGTGTGAAGTTCCGCCCACACCTGTTGTACCTCCCACACCTGTTGTACCTCTCACACATGCTTAATCCTGCTCACCCCCGACCACCACCATCAGCCACTTGCTATCTTACTCCCATACCAACAACATGAAGAGATTTCACCTGGGTGCGCCTTTATCATGTTTATTTTTCATCATTAGGGTAAGATCATGTTCCTTACCAGTTATTTGTACAAGACTTGTGTATAAAATTTGTTGTGTAGATATCACTTGTGTAGGACTTGTATATGAGTTATTATTCTTCAGTGTATTTGTACAGTTGTTAGTTGTAGCCTATAGGTGAAGTGTTTTTGGTGATGTGAGTTTTGTGTTACTTGAAGATTTTTACTTATTTTATTTACATTATACGAGGCTAGACTATCTTGGGTTAAGTCGGGTTATGTTATGTTGAATTAAGGTCACTAACCATTACTCTGTGTGTGTGTGTAATAATAATAATAATTAACCGTTTATTGAAAGAGCATGGCACCCGGAAGGCTGAAAATATACAGTTACATAATTGGGGAATGGGTCTCATGATTGACAAATAATATATAAGTAACATAAGCAATATAAATATGATATTATAATGACTTGGTGGGGAGAAGGTCATACTACAGGGCATTTCAACATAGTGACGGTGCAAAAAGGTAAGATTGACTGGGAGTGAATACACTGGTTGATTACAAGTTATTGATACTTTTTACAATGGTTGGGACTGTGTGTGTGTGTTACATTAGATTTCATTAGGTCTGCATTGGTTAGGCTAGATAAGGATGCAATACTTCATCCTGTAATGAATTAAGATAGGTAAAGTTAAGTTAGGATAGGTTACGGTAGATTTAGGAAGGTTAATGTACATTGGGTGTGGTTTGATAAGGTTAGGTAAGGTCAAATCAGGCTCGGTTAAGTCGAGTTAGGTCATTAGTAGGGCCCGGATAGTTATGCACTAAAAAACCATGAAATATGCATGCAAATATGCGCTAAAAACAGGGGAAATATGCATTTATATGCACTAAAATGTCACTTATAAAGCCAAGAATGCAGGTTATACGGAAACAAAATAGTTAATATAAACTAATATTAATGTTTATTAAGCAATATACGAAATGTATTTAACATATATATGTGAAAGTGCTTCAAAAAATATATATGAACCTGTATTTACATTATAGACTGACATATTTTCAGACATTACAGATTGTGGTTGCATTTGATGATGACATGGTGGCGTAAGTTCTCAAAGTTAAAACCCCGCCTGTTGTCTGTCAGCATAGCTTTATATTCTGAGAACACCCTTTCTACATCACACGAGACGATTGGTGCATGTTTCATACATAGGAGGTCTGACATAGTGAGTGGCTGTACCGTCTCGTCAATAATAGCATCCAGTATACTGTTCCAGGAATGACTTTAGGCACTTGTTATTCAGTTTATGCAATGGAATATCCGCTGAAACAAATGCCTTGCACAAATCTGCGTTGAACTGGGAACGATCAGGCCCTGACTTGCTGGAACATGCAAGAAGTAGTTGTTGCTCCTTTTGTGCACTATTGGACTTAACAGCTTCGAGTCGGATGTGCTTGCTTGTTTTAAGGTGTTGTTGGACTTGAAATTTCTTGCTCGCTGTCACTGGTGCTTCACAATATTTACAAAACAGTACACTTCCATCAGTAGTAAATGCATCAAATTCCTTTACATATGATCTCGGCACTTCATTTTGGTTTCTTTGTACTTTCGGCATTTTCACGAGCAGCAGAAGAGAGTAGCTCCACACAGCAGCACTGCTCCTGACTGACTAACTCACTAGTCCAATGAGTCATGACCAGGTGTGGAAACGACAGATTAAAGCGACGTGACCTCACCTCACTTCACCTAACCACACCTCACCTCCCAGTACCACGTGTGCTCATTCAGTGGCAACAAAGAGATAAATAACATAAGAAGAGCAAGAATGGAGGAAACTGCAGCGGGCTCCACTATCTATACTGGGCAGTCCTGCTTACACTCCAACCCCTATTGCTCATAAGTATGAGCATCCAACCTATGTTTGAAGCTATCCAGCGTATTCGGAGTTAATGATATTTGGTAACTTGTTCCATTCATCCATCACTTCGTTTCTGCAAACCAGTGTTTAATACCTATTTCACCCCAAATCTAAATTTGTCTAATTCGAAAACTGTATTACATGAGTTCGCTCCTGGTTGGATAATTTGAGTACTTTGTAATGTCCCCTTTGTTTAGCCCTGACTTCCACTTTTACCCCTATCAGGTCGCTCTACGTCTCTCGAGGGAGTGCAAATTAAGATGTTTTAACCTGTCTCTATACTCAAGGTTCCTAATGCCCGGGATTAGTCTTGTCATTCTCCTCTGAATTCTTTCCAATGATTCTATATCCATTCTGTAATACGGTGACCAGAGCTGAACTGCGTAATCCAGGTGTGGTCTCACAAGGGCAAGATACAGTTTTAGGATAACCTCGTTAGTCCTGTAACTAACACTCCTTTGTATGAACCCAAGTACTTTATTAGCCTTGTTACGAGCAAAACACATTGTTTACTTGGCTTAAGGTTCCACTTATTACTTCTAAATCTCTCGCAGTCGGATTTCTATGGCATCGTTGTTCATCTGGTATCTGGTTTCCCTGTTTACATCTCCTATACTGAGCACTTTACATTTGTCCACCTTGAATTTCATCTGCCATTTTTCAGACCATTCGAAGAATTTGTTTAGATCTTCCTGTAGTTTTGCGGAGTCCTCGTCAGATTTAATAACACGTCCTATTTTAGTGTCATCAGTAAATTTACTTATGTTGCTGTCTATGCCGATATCTATGTCGTTTATGTATATAATAAATAATAATGGTCCAAGTATTGAGCCCTGGGGAACTCCACTAGTGACGTTGCTCCAATGGGACTTAGTGCCGTTAATGCTCACTTCCGCTGTTTCCTGTCCTGTAACCACGCCCTCAACCATTTAAGGATGTCACCTGATGTCATGAGCTTTACCTTTCTAATTAGTCTTCGTGGGGGACTTGTCGGCTAGTTTTGCTAAAGTCGAGATATACCACATCATAATTGTGCCCCTCGTCCACCGATTCGAAAACTAATGAAAAGAATGTTAATAGATTAGTTAGACATGAACGTCCGCTTGTGAAGCCATGCTGGGAATCATTGATCAATCCGTGCTTCTCCAGGTGATTTTGAATAGAGTTTGAAATGATTTCTTCCAGTAATTTGCCTACTATTGATGTTAGATTGATTGGGCGGTAGTTAGAGGATAGTGATCTATCCCCTTCTTGAAAATCGGTATTACATTCGCTATCCTCCAGGATTCTGGTACTACACCTGTTTTTAAGGACATGTTAAACAACTTTGCTAAGGGCATACTAAGCTCTTCCTTACATTCCTTTAATACTCTGGCAAATATCTCATCGGGACCAGGTGACTTATTAGGCTTTAGTTTGTCTATTTGCTTACTAACATCGTTACTAGTCACTACAATCTCACTTAATTTGTTTTCTTCACTATCTCTGAATAGAGTCGGTGCCTCGGGTATCATGTTTAGATTTTCGGTGGTGAAAACTGTTGAAAAATATTTATTCAAATTATTGCTCATTTCTCCGTCGTTATCAGTGAGCTCGCCGGAGTCTGACCGTATTGGTCCAATCTTTTCTCGTGTTTTAGTTTGATACATTTGGTAGAATCCTTTGGGGTTTGTCTTCGCCTCCCTTGCTATCCTTACCTCATTATTCCTCTTTGCTTTCCTTATTCTCGGTTTTAACTCTACCGCCAATACCCTATAATAGTCCCGGAGGTGAATTTCGCCACGATTTATCCTTCTACCTATAGCCTTCCTTTGGCCAATGATGTTCTTTAAATAATTATTTATCCATTTAGGTCATTGTTGTCTGATCTGAGTTTTTTGTATGGTATGTTCTGCCTTTGTGTATTAAGTAACTCACTATTTAAATTATCGTGGAACTCGGCAATCTCAGATCTCGTTATCAGGTCGGTGTCATCTGTCAGGTTCACGGCCAAGCGCGACACCCCCTCTCTCAGCTGCCTCTTTAAACTGTCAAAGTTTGCCCTTCTGAAATCTGGTACTTTAGTGGAATTTTCCTTACGTCTGCCCTGAAAATCTAACTGGAATCGAATTTCTTTGTGATCGCTGTTTGCAAGTTCGTTCCCTACCTCGACATTGCTAATGAGGTTTTCTCTGTTCGTCAGAACTAAATCCAGTATATTATTACCCAGTGTGGGTTCGGTTATATGTTGACTTAGGAAACAGTCCTGGATCGTCTCGAGAAAATCCTCTGATTCTGAGTTACCCGTAAGGACAGTCCAATCTATTTGGCCAAGGTTAAAGTCGCCTACTATACAGACTTTGTTGTGTATGGAAGCCCTGCGCATTTCATCCCAGATAAGTCGCTCATTGACGCTATCAAGATTGGGGGGTCTATATATTACCCCTGTGATTAATTTTTCCGACCGTCGCTTAATTCTATCCAAATTGTTTCTGTATTCCTCTCAGTTTTTATTTCCTTATTTATTTCACACTTCAGATTATCCCTAACATAGATTGCTACTCTGCCTCCTTTCCTGGTCTGCCTATCGGTATGGAACAGTTTGTAACCCGCAATTTGGTATTCGACTGGTAATTCACGTGTGTCTAGGTTGATCCATGTTTCAGTGAATGCAATTATATCGATTTCTTCGGTACATACCAAGGCCTTAATATCATTCATTTTGTTTCTCATACTTCTACTGTTCGCGTAGTATACATTTAAGTTAGTCGTGTTCTGAGTCCTTCCCTTACCGCGTTTAGTTTTAAACTCCCTGTCTAATTTAGTTTTGTCATCATTCCTAACACTATTTCCCTGTAATCTTTCGCCTTGTTTACCCGCTCCCACTGCAGTCTCCTCCACCCCCGTGCTCCTATGTTCTCTTAGCAGTTTAAAGACTTCGATATCTTTTGAACTGCCCCCTCTAGAGCCCCAGCCAGGGTTGCTACTCCATCCCTAGACAGGTGCACCCCATCCCTAGCATAGAGGTCCCTTCTGCCATAGAAGTTGTCCCAGTTGTCAATGAATGGGACTGATATTGACTTGCAATATCTGTCAAGACGGTCGTTAACACCAACTGCCCTTGACAACCATTCACTGCCAACTCTCCTTCTAGGCAGGACACCGCATATGATAGGGATCCCTCCCTTAGTCCTAATACGATCTATGGCTGCCTTGAACTTATCAAGAAGTTCCTCGCTCCTACACCGGCCAATATCATTGCCTCCTGCACTGAGGCAGATAATGGGTTTGTTCCCATTACCAGATGAATATTTTACCAAAATATGCATTTATATGCAGTTATCTAGGTAATATGCACTTATCATAGAAATCACGCAAAATATGCATTTGCATATGAAATATGCAAATGCATAACTATCCGGGCCCTAGTCATTAGTAATGATTCATTACTCATCAGCTAGACTAAAACACGAGTTATATCCCACTTTACAACCATGACCTGATCTTGTGCGTGTACAGGTGAGCGTGGCACTGAGGACAGACACTGGGGAGGTGGATGATGTGTACAAGGTGGTCATGGGCCGAGTACACCATTCAGCTCTTGATTGGGTCAGCAAGGAAAGTACTTCATCACTCTTGGCCAAGCTGCAGTCAGATGGGTCATTCTCTGATCTACATGTACGTTTCTTTATGGCACATCAAAACTACAGTCGCCTACACTTATACATGGTACAGTGACTGGTGTATTTTGTAAGATGTGGCAACTCTGTAAAAAGCTTATTTAACATCCTTAATCTGGCTACTGTTGTGAGGTTTCTTAGGGCAATTCCGGAAGTTTTAATACAATGTAAACAAACAGAGGTGCCACATCTTACAAAATGTGCCAACTACTGTACCAGGTTTAAGTGCAGGTGACAGTGCCTATATCTCTTAATTCTTACTTGTTAAATACTGGTGTCTCTCTTTTTCTTATTGGTGATGGTTTGTGTTGGTATTAACCCAGAAGAAACATTTAAAAGACTTTAATTTTTGAAGTGCAATATTATATTTTAACATCAATACACTATTAAACAAATTATTTTGGGTAAAACTGTTTTTCTATTATAAATACTGTACTACCACTACTAACTACTACTACTAATATTAACATTACTAACTTCTACTGCTACTATTACTATCTATAACAACCATTACTACCACTATTGTCACCATCACACACAGTATGGTGAAGATAAGTCTACCTCCTTCATGACTCACGGCCTTCGTCAGGGAGCTCTTATGTATCACCACCTAAACGGGGAAGACTTGGCTGAAGAGGTGTTGTCCTGTTTCACCTACATCACCTACGACGCCCCAGCCAACACAGGTGACGAGTGGGAGAGAGAAAGAGGGGGGGAAGGTAGAGAGAGAGAGGGGGGGGAGGTAGAGAGAGAGAAAGAGGGGGGTAGGTAGAGAGAGAGAAAGAGGGGAGGGGGTAGAGAGAGAGAAAGAGGGGAGGGGGTAGAGAGAGAGAAAGAGGGGGGTAGATAGATAGGGGAGGGAAAAAGAGAGAGGGACCCTAACTTAACCTATATGAACCATGTTACCAGATACAAACTGGTGGGGTCAAGTCATCGGGACGCCTTACAGGATGTGGGAGGGCGTAGTGTTGGCGCGTGACCTCCTACCTGAAGACCTGCTGCTGGACTTCTTGAACAGGTAGGTCAATAAGTGTTGGTCAGAGTGAGTATGTACGTGTGATAAAGGGTCAAAATGGAGTTTATTCTTAATAGGCTGTATCCTAATGGGACAGGGAGAGAGAAAGAGAGAGAGAGAGATAGAGAAGTAACAATAAGTCCACCTTACAGGTACTGGGTCAACACACTCTATGGACCTGTCTGGAACCTGAAGCAAAAGAATGAAAACATGGCAGGTCAGTGTTGTATAGATCATGTTTACGACAGGTCAAGTTTAAGACAGGTCATGCTTGGGTTATGTGACGTTTTGTAGTTTTTGTATCTGTGTTGCTGCTATTATTATTATTATTATTATTATATGTTAAGGAGAACCTTATGACTCTTGTCTGTTGTCTGTGTGAATTTCTGGTGCACGTTGACTGAGAGCCCGTCCCAGTTGTCTGAGTGTCTGTTAGAGTGTCCTGTTGTCTCTTGAAATGTGTCTGTTGTCTGTTAAAGTGTGTCTGTTGTCTGTTAAAGTGTGTCTGTTGTCTGTTAAAGTGTGTCTGTTGTCTGTTAAAGTGTGTCTGTTGGCTGTTAAAGTGTCTAAGGTCTGTTAAAGTGTGTCTGTTGTCTGTTAAAGTGTGTCTGTTGTCTGTTAAAGTGTGTCTGTTGTCTGTTAAAGTGTGTCTGTTGTCTGTTAAAGTGTGTCTGTTGTCTGTTAAAGTGTGTCTGTTGGCTGTTAAAGTGTGTCTGTTGTCTGTTAAAGTGTGTCTGTTATTAGTTAAAGTGTCTAAGGTCTGTTAAAATGTGTCTGTTGTCTGTTAAAGTGTGTCTGTTGTCTGTTAAAGTGTGTCTGTTATTAGTTAAAGTGTCTAAGGTCTGTTAAAATGTGTCTGTTGTCTGTTAAAGTGTGTTTGTTGGCTGTTAAGATACGTATGTCTTGTAACCACATGTACCACCAGGAGGAAACTTGGCACCAAGGGCCATGTGTGCCGAGGTGGAGGCACTGCTCAGAGGAGAATACGTGGACGTCCATGCCCAGGTGACGGAGCAGCTGTACCGAGAACTGGCTCAGAGACAAGGCTGGAACAACGCCGGGCTGAGGTGAGTAGATTTCATGAGCAAGAAAATTATTTGGTTCAGTATCGATCATGGTAACAAACAAGCCTGGGATATTTTGGGGGATATGTTACTTTAAATGTATTGGTGTAACGGCGTTCTTGGTATATTCATCAACATGGGACTTTTGCTTCCAGGCCAGACGGTTGTTTACATCAACATAACATGGAGCCTCACTTCACCCAACATGGTCACCTGGACCACATACTTGGGAACCTCTACAACGGCCATTATGGTTATGAGTTACTCTTCGTAAGGTTCTCACTTCTCACGTGTTGTATTGAGGGACTTTACCACAGGGCACTTACTTGTCTAGTACTGCATGTTCACTGTTCCACTCTGATTCCATTTTTGTTTTCGAATTGAAATTGTCACTCTTGTATAAGTCATGAACTAATCATTAATTCTTTATTGATGAAGAGGATCTATGCCTGTGCCACGAATAGCATCTGTGAGCATGTGTCACTAACAGCACCTGTGTGTGTGTGCCATTAACAGTACGACTCCCTTATTGTGTGGTGGTACTCGGGCACGGAGCTGGACTTTGATGATGCGACGGTGGAGGGGATGTTCTCAGCCTACCTCGAGTGTCAACAATGGCTCTTTAGAGGACACACCATTGATCCAACCACCACTGGCAGGTTCATCGATTCAGGTAGGGGTCGAGGTCAGCTCAGGTCAGGTCTCTTGGGCGTGGGAGACCAATACAACAATATCCAGGGGAGATAATAAGACTTAATGACCTCTTGGAAATAGTGTACATTTAGACAAAGCTATTTAGAAATGTCATGGGAGTTGATTTTTTTCTCTTCTGGGTATCTAAGTGAAATTGTTTTGTTAAGTTAGACAGACACTTCTACAGACTATTTCTCCTACACACAAGGTTCCGCCGTGACCAAGTTTGGGACGCGCACCGGAGTGAGGGACACGGGCCACATCCTGCAGAAGGTAGGTCGTCACCAGCAGGAGGTAGCAGCAGTCTTACATAGATACGACAACCCAATACCTGACCCGGAGTACGCACTGAGTGGCAACAAGTATTTCTTTAAGTACGTTACCCCTTGTTATTATTATTATTGTTATTATTATTAGTTGTAAGTTTTGACTTTAACCTCAACTTGTCTTATTAATTCTCTTTAGAGTATTTTTCATTTTTATTCATCTTGTTGATGCTAGAATCATTTTATTTTGTTTTTACTTTAGGAGAGACTATTTTATTTCTCACTGTCATCTTTAACCATCTCTTCCTCCCTCTTTCTTCCTGTCTCTCCAAACATAACCATCATCACATTTCCCCTATATCTTCTTTTATCTTTTAATTTATTCATGCCATTCCTTCATCTTCCTTTATTTTCCTTCATTATTTGTCTAGTCCTTATACCATTGTCTTTACATCTTTATTATCTCCTCTCTGTCATTTATCACAGTCTTCTCTTGTCCACAGTTCTGACTTGACGGTACATCAACAGCGGGAGTACATGGCCAGTGTGAGAGTTCTGTCCAATAGAACCACCAGACAGGAAACTTGGACTAGTGGACAGAACGTGGACGGGTACTTTCAGGTAAGGCCAGGGGTTCGTTCATGGGTTCTGTTAAGGAATTCTGTCATGGATTCGAATCTCGGCACCCAGAGGTAAGAAATTATTATATGTTAGGTTGTGTTCGGTTAAATCGGGTCAGGTCAAGTTAGGTTAGGTTAAGTCAGTTCATGTTAGGAGTCCAATCGATAAGTGTCACGAAAAACTAATAGTAAATGTCTTCCTTGTGTGTGTGTGTGTGTCTGTGTACATACCAGGGCGACGGCTTCATGACAGTACTGGTGGACGGAAACGAGTATGGCCATGAGAATGCTGAGGTCTTCCCGGTATATGACTGGGCCAAGGTACCGGGTGTGACCAACGTCTATAACACAACCATACCAAAGGTAATACATAGTAGTGACACATATTGGTGATACTTTGTAGTGAGACATACCATAATTGAGCTAATGTGCTCCAACTTATCATGAAAAAAGGTTCAATGTTTCGAGAGTGATCCACTGCTCGACACACTGAATCAGTTTTCCAAGACACTGACTCCCGTTCTCTTCCCGGCAGTTCAGCTTCGGCAGCTACTGGTCAGAACAGTTCTTCAACAACGCTAAGTTCGTGGGAGGAGCAACAGATGGCAGCATAGGTGTGACCTCCATGGTGTACCAGCGACCTCACCTTCCCCTCACTTACCTCAAGTCCTGGTTCTTCTTCGAGGACGTCATCTTCGTTATGGCCTCTGACATCACCCTGCCAGCCTGCAATAACGCTATTGATAACGATGCTGTCATTACCACACTTACCCAGGTGCTTCCCCCGTGTGTGTGTGTGTGTGTGTCAGTGTTTTTGTGAGAGAAAGAGAGATAATGTTATCACTTAACCAGCTGCATATTCTCATTAGTTATTCCTCGTCCTCCTCCTCAAGGGTGCCTTCGAGGGGGAGTACGTGCTGGGGACGGAAGGGGGAAAGGAAGAGAAGCTGGGGATGGGCCACCACCAGGAGGACTCCCCCGCCTGGCTCCACCACCGAGATGTGGGCTACGTGTTCCTTCACGACCAACAACACCCTCTCTTTACCTCCGCCTTGACTCACACCCACAAAAACAAGGATCTTAATGTGTTCACGTAAGTTTGGGCTCTGGGATGTGGGTATCTTCAATCTGTATGTATGTATGTATGTATGTATGTATGTAAGTATCATAAATCATATCCATTCAGGTATTCGTATGGAGAATCTTGTCTTCAGTCTGCCTTGTTTTTTAGTTTAGTCTCTCTCTCTCTACACCACACTTACCAGGCTCCTCCCCGCAGTGCTTGGCTGGACCACGGGTTTTCCCCCCAGTCGGGCCTCTTGACCTACGCTGTTCTGCCGGCCTCCAACCTCACCAAGACCCGGGCCTTCGCTGCTGACCCCGATGTGGAAGTCATCTCCCAGACGAGTGACCTACACGTCGTCTGCCACCATCCCTCTAAGGTGAACCAATCATATCAAAGGTTTTAATTTAAGATCACCTGAGGATTAGACCCCTAGCTTATTTCACATGAACCACCTGAACACTATTCTAACCAAACTCAATCTATTCTAACCTAACCTAACCCTCCTAAGTAACATGAGGGTGTTTACTCTTCAATTGAAATATTATCATGAGTGGAGTCCCCGAAAGTCAATCAGGCGGAGCTGAAAATAAACACAAAACAAGATGACGTTTTAGAATATTAGTACATGAGGTCTTGAATATGTCACTTGTCCTAGAGGAATGGACCGGGGGGGGGGGCAGTTATCCAACCTCCAGCCCCACGATCCACCCAGGAGAAGTTGTTCAATGTCTTAAATCGTTATATTGTTGTTTACAGACGGTAGGGGCGGTGATGGTGTCTGGTGGGCAGGTGACGGTGGGTATGTGTGGTCAGGTGGGGCCACTAGACCTCCAGGTAGATGCCCCCTGCATCCTCCTCCTCACCATCACCTCCCACACCGCTGATGCCACCCAGCTTGACGTCACCCTGGCCGACCCCCAGCAGGAATACGACGACATCACCATTAAGATGTCAGTGGACGACCGCCAGGTGGAACACAAGATCCTATTGCCGTCACCACCACACCGAGGCTCCAGCACCACCACCTCCCTCACAGTATAACATCCGGGGACTCACGAGCCCCCACATACTGTTTACAAGACCAAGAAGTAGTCAGAACTGAAAAAAATTGCTGTGAATAAAATAATGCAAGATATATTGTACATGTGTATATCTGTCAAGTTTATATTATTATGCATTTATTATCCCTCAAATATCACAATGAGACCTGTATCAGTGTGGATAAGTAGCATAACAAAATGAAAATTAATGTAAACAGGACATAATCAGTGAAGACAAGGAACTATTGGGCAAGTACGGAGGTCCCACTCGTCACATGGTAACAGCCTGGGTCATCTCCTCTTTTGTTTCCCACCAGAGTTCACCTTATCTGCCTCCCAACTTGTTTCACCTAATGATTAACCACCTCAATCCTACCCAAACATAATCTAACCTTACATAACCCCCACAGGTAGCTTTAGGGCATTTAATCGACAGGTGAAGTAAAGTGGAGGGGCCAATAATCAGTTAATTCCACTCGGTGACTAAAGCTAAATTCACAAACACGGATTTTCAAAAGCTGCTTACGTAAACTCTCTTATCTTAGTAGTAGTCTGGCACTCGCATAAACTGCGACACAAAGATCTATTCTCAGTCACTCCTACGTACAGGGATAACAATTAATTCAGTACAGGTGGCAGTAAGAGACCTTGGAGCTGTCGTGTTGTGATTGGTTGCCACAACATGGACTCACGAGACTCAACACCACACCTTAACTAAACTACAGTGGGCAAGTCTCCAGGCCAATATCGTCATGTTACAGTATCATTATGCCTTATATCAGCATTATCTCCCTATTAACCTATAGAAACCTGTCTATTATTCAATATTTTAATTTGTAGTTTCTTTTTGTCTATGTCTATAATTATCATGTTTAATGTTTGCATTCTTTTGCACGTGTGGAATTATGCTGTGTTAGGTTGATTCGTTTACCCTTTAAAAGTCCAAGTTAAGGAGGAATGTTGCTCTTTGATATTCTATTCAACTTAAAAAAAATTACCTAGATTAATATTATATGATTTATCGAATGGCCGCTCCAACCAGTGGTGGACATACCCAGTGGCCTGAGAGGATCACTTCTGTTTTCGTGAGTGTAAAGGGAAAGGGAGCCAATATCATATGTTTACATTTGTTACGTCAAATTTCTCTCTATCTTAACGTGGGCAGATCAACCAACTCTAAACTTACATTTTATCCATAATTTGCCCCTGCATGACAAATTTTACTTAAATAAATATAACATAAATCGTGATTACTTAGACAAATTTAGTTACGCATATATAACTTCTTTAATAGTCCTTCATTTTACCTCAAGCGAAATGTTGAGTATCAAATAAATTCTTTAAAAACAATTATTTTATTAAAAATCCTACTAAATAAGACTTATAATAATTCAATATTTAAATCATATACCTTAATTTTAGCATAATAATTATGTTTGGTATTGATGAAGAATCAAGTTACTGCCCATCTCAAGATCGGCAAAATATCAAGTTGGGATGCAGTCGTATACACACCATCTGGGTTATGCATCACAGTCCTGCCATTCTCAACATATTTATACCTTATATCTTACATGACATCTCTTAAAACCACCATAGGAGTATTTAAGAGTCATTTCACGATAATATTTCCACCGAATTGTGAAGTAAAATCTTTAAATATGGAGAATTTTGAGATAATAAGAGGAGGCAGCGTTTGGCATCACGGTAGTAAGATAAGGGAGGCCATAGCAACAAGGTCTCATTTACACTTCATCTCCCCACAGCCTCCCACAGTCTCCCACAGCCTCCCACAGCCTCCCACAGTCTCCCACAGCCACAGCTACACAGAGGTAATACTATAACAACTAGTGTAACCAACAATAAATATAACTTAATCTTTTAAATGTCTGTTTGGTTAAATTCCAAATACTAATAATCATCATCTGTTTACTTACAACATATACTGTATATTGATTTAGTAATTTAAAGTAATAATACAGTGAATAAATATCGATCTATCATTTTATTTTGGATTACTGTCATTTAACCTTTTTAACAGTGACCAGTAAAGGGTCGTGTAAATTCAGTACTAGACTCGTAATAAAAGAAATGAATTGATTAGAACTTATTGATTAAAACTTCATACAGTATGCTAAGTTGAGGGTTACCACTTTATTCTTAATATCTATCATATTCTTCAGTGAAATTTTTATTACCATATATAAAACACTGATTTATTAGATGAAGAAGAAATAATGGTTGTTATAATAGTAGATAAACTGGTAGTTAAACCATATCCTAATTTAATATAAAATTTATATTGTAGTTTAGCCTTCATGTTTTAATATTATCTTACCAGCATCATCTTGTCCATTCTGCCCTCTGACCAATAACCACCAAAAGATGTGGCTAATATTTCAAAACATCTTTATAGAATACATAAACCAGACACCTCAGAATTATCTTATCAGAAGCTAGTAGTGAGATAGTTGACCTCATCTGGCTAACAACCTACTGTATGTCCTGGGAACTGTCAGGTGACCACTTAACTATACTCAGGTTAATACTGTACCAAAAAAGAGAGTTTTAATATTTGTTTTATACTGTAGAACTTTAATTTATCTCTTTATTTAGTGAAAGAAATATTTGGTTTATTTAATCCCTCCACTGTTCCTGAGAAGCTTTATAGCTACTTGTACTACAGTAAGTATTTTGGTATTAATGAAACTTGTGTTGTACTGAGGAGATTGCCAGAGTGTTTCACTGTGGCATTACTAACATTTTTGTCCACATCTTGTCAGATTATATTGCCTGACGGATTCCATGTGATCGCCAGAGACAGTTAATAATAATAATAATAATAATAATAATAATAATAATAATATCTATTCATTAAAACTGGCAACGGGTTTACAATTAGATAGGTATGTATATAAAGTATGCAGTTATACAGTTCAGCATGAATATACAGTGCAGTTAGGCCATGGGAGTATAGTACTGTATACAGTTTCTTGTGTGCTGAGACGGTGCAGGTAAACAACGACGGTAAGGCAGTTTGACCGCAGATAGCCGACGAAGCTGTCTGATGTTTATTTCCAGTTTATGTATTTTTCCCCCAGGTTACGACCATGAAGTACCTTACACCCAAGCAGAAGAAGTTTTATGACGACAATGGTTATGTAGTGATAGACATATTAACTGACCAGGAGAAAGACGACCTCAGTAAAGAATATGACCAGGTCTTCAATGCTAAAGATCAGGCTAAACTAGAAGGCACCTGGCAAGGGGACTGGGAAGGAAAGAAAAAAAAGATGGTGAGTGTGACTTTGTCCATATTTCAGTCATCTTTACGAAGTCTGTCACTATTTACAGGTATCCGGGATACTGAAAACTGTCGGGTCATGTGATATATCCACTGCAGTCTATATAATTACTGTATGTTTCTGCTCTTGGATTAGTGTATATATATAGTTGATATTGTCTTGTCATGGCGTCATCGCCCTGGTGTGTCTGACAGTACAGGTCTTCGTAACTTCTTGTTTAGTCATAATGTACAGTACAGTGCTGTACATATTATGATCATCAGATTTAGATACATGTACAGGGGGTCCCCAACACCCGCTGATACAAACGGGGTTAAACTTGAAATTTACAGTAATTTATTAACCTGATATCTTATTTTTTAACTTTCTTTTGTCTTAAAATAATTGATTTTAGATGTATATAAGGACTTAGGCTATGATATAGTGGGATTTTGAACATTGTTCTGTAAGTATGGTATGCACATAGCATGTGTTCCAATTTACTTACAAATCCGACTTAAGAACGTCCTCAGGAACAGAACCCATTTGTAACCTGGGGACCCCCTGTACAGTACAGTACTTTTGGTCTATTCCAGATTTCGTCATGGATACAGTTTGTGGTTAAGTTTGAAATTTTTTTTATTGATTACAAGAAAACATTGTATTGTTCATTAAGATCATTATTTTTTTAAACAGGAAATGAAATCCATCCACAGCCTCCAGATGCACTCTGCTGTCTTCACACGTCTTCTGCTGAACGACAAGTTGTTGGATACCTGTGAGGATGTAATGGACACCCCCAACATTCTGCTGCACCACACCAAGGCTCACACCAAACCTCCAGGCACCGGCTCACCCTTCCCCATGCACCAGGTACACTACAGACTTGGGTAAACAATTCCTTGACCTTATATAGTACAACCTACAGGTCATCTGCATGTATTAGGTGACATTCACCTCTACCAGTAGGATATAGACTTTCCAGGCAGACAGTAAGCAACATTTTCTCTACAGTATTTCCTGAATTTGTCATTTTTCATTTTTTCAGTTGAATGAATGATTCCTGAAGTTAGTTAAATAAGATAAATAGATTGAGAGATGAGGTAGAATGTGAAGTGTGTTGCATGTTAACAAGACCCACAAAAGTTAATCTTTGGTATGTGTTTCATATAGTATTTTGGTGATAAGATCCGCAAATCGATTAACATTTAGGTTCCTAATTTCTGCTGGGTAGACAGAGGCAAATGGCATAAAGAAACTTGCCCATAGTTTCACCCTGCCCGAGTCCGCTCACTTGCGAGGTGAGCATGCTGACCATTACACTACAGGTCGCCAGTGCAGTTGGCGAGTTGTCCGGTCTTCTCAGACTATTCCTTGACACTGGGTCATGCAACTCGTTAACTTGGTGTGTGGTTGTTGTGTTGGCGACAGCTTCTACACCTTAAACAAATTCATGCCGAGGTGGCCCTAGGGCCGACCATCCTCATTACGTGAGAGCCAACTATTATTTTATTATTATTATGGTGATGCAGTGTCAAAATAAAGTTTGAGATTTTTAATTATTATTTTTGTCACACCATTTCATTTGTTTCATTTTTTTTTTTTTTTTGACAGGATTACCATTACTTCCCATTTGAGAACGACTCAATGGTGGCGGTGTTTGTAAGCGTAGACGCAGCAGACCCGAGCAACGGTGGCCTGTGTGTGTACCCTGGCTCACACAAGCTTGGCCCCCTTGAGGACATAAGTAATGCTGCCGGCTACCATTACTTAGACCCAGAGAAATTCCCCATTGGAAAAGCCACTCCTCTAACACTAAGCAGAGGACAGGTAGGAATTTATGATATTTTTGTGATACTTTTTGTTTTCTCTCTATAGACGATCATTATAGAATCCACAGCACCTGGTAGAGCTCTGTTATGAAGAGAGGGAACCCTGTGCTGTACACAAGTGGTTAAAACTATTAACTTTCTCCCAAATAGATTGTGATCTTCTCTTACCTGCTAGTGCATGGATCGTACGACAACAACAGCGATCGCATCCGTCGAATGTTTCTCATTCAGCTGATGTCTGCTGAAGATGTCCCTCTGACCAAAGTCCATGTTTCTGAGTGCCAGGAGATGGTTCTCCGAGGACGATGTTTGTCCAGGGACGCTGACATCAAACGCCGTCACAAGGAATTTGTTGAAGAAGAGACTGTAGCTAAAGTGGTATAAGTTGTACAAGTTGATTGTTTATGCATAGTATTACATCTGTTACCTGAAGAAATGGTCACCTTTATCTTGCAGGAAAGGATGATTACTAAACACAGCCAGTCTCCCTTAACTATAGTCTTACAGTATGTCTACTTAAGGGAGAGTTCCAGTTACTTGTATATCCTCTCCCTTAACCAGACAAAAGCCTCACAACACGATACTTTCTGGTTACTTGTGTAATTTTACTTTTTTCTTACATTTTTGCTCTTTTTTTGTGATGAGGTAACATTTATTTTCTCTGCATAGAATTGTAATGTATTTTTTTTTTGTTAATACCAGTGAAGTAGTCAAAACCGTTTACAATTTTACTCTTTTTACCTGAAGATTAGCCCCCTCCTTCCTCCAGATAGTTTCAATGGGGTGGTTAAACTTTAGATGAGCTTTTTATTTTAAGGGTTATTCATCAGGTGATATATAAAGGTTAAAGTTGTCAATGATCTCGGTCTTGACAACATCACTGGTTATTGGTTAATGCCGTATCCACTCATGAACTTGTGGATTTATTAACCATTACAAGTATATTTCTTTGGTGCTTTATGGGTTAAGGGTGTGCAAGAAACATTTATACTTGATATACAGTATATATACATTAAATAGCATATATATTTTAACCCTTGATGATTAATGATGGCTTTAAATTCAGATCCTCGAGGGGGTTAGGTTATGAGGGAGTTAAACTATTACCCTTCAAGAATTAAACTCTTGAGAGATTAAACCAGTATTTTTAAGGTGTTAAATTTTGATCCTCGAAGGATTAAACCATCATTGTGAAGTATTAAACTTCTAAAGGTGTTATGCTCTACTGTACTGTCATTCTATTAACACATCATTAACAGGGTAATATTGAAGTTATGTTATTATACATTTAGGATATTATATATTGATTTTGATTGATTTATTTTATTTATTTTTTTTTTTTTTACATTTATATTGAAGTTGTGTTATATATATTATGATATGTTTTATGTATTTAGTTTATCATAAATTTAAATTATGTTTAGATATTTAGTACTGTACATTGTTTATTGAAGTTATATATAATTTGTTCAGAGTTTATTGAAATTATAATTTTATGAATTTATTTATCAACAAGCCGATCATTGGCGAAGAGGATAAAGGTAAAACTAAAATATTGAAATTACAAATGATATGGTCAGACTTTATTCCTACTGATTTTTAGATTCTTGTTTATTTTACATTATGAAATATAATACAGTAATCATTTAGGGTCCTCGGATCGAAAAATTTACCCTGTATAATTAGCGTCTGAAGAATATACCGTATGGGATTTAAAATGTGTCAGGCAGGTGGAATGACTGAGAGTGCACTAAGATGGTATAACAAGAGAAATACCTGGCAGGTGAGAGATGGGGATTATTTATCATATATTTTGAAATCACAAGAGCCGAGGGAAGACCAGGAAGTAATTGGATAGATTCCCTTGGTGAATATTAGCGAGGGGAAGAGGTATTAAGTGTCACTTTAATGGTCAAAGAATGGTGTGGGTTGCGGATACTGGGAACTATCTTGCTTGTGATGGTGTAAATGGGAAATCCTGGACAACTTTGCCATTTGAATTTATTTGAAATGTCGGGAATTATCGTAGAGGTTGTGTTAGTGACGTAATGAAGACCATGATTTATTTTACCCACTATCGATCACTTAAAGATTAGCCCTCCCTCAAGTGCTTAACGAAACATCCCTTACCTTATCCAGCCTGGAGTTTAACCACCCTGTAACTATCTGCTGGAGGACAGATATTTAAGTTGATTCATAAAGGCTGGGTTGTAAGATGAGGATATAAGAAAGCATGCTGGGATATTTCTGTGTCTTTTAGGAGTCTCCCTGTGTCTTTCCACATTTGTCTTGCATCATTCTTCTGTGCCATTTCCTCGCTTTTCTTGAAGTTTGTTGGTGTTGATTCAGTCCAGGCAGAAGTAGGAGAAGAATAAAGATGATGGAATATAAATCAGTGCCATCATATGCTGAAGTTATATTCGTACATAATTGATTGCTTCATATATATAATTTTTATTGTGAAACATTTTAGTCATTTTTTATCTTTATTCAGAAGGAAAGACTTTTTTTTATAGGAAATTTTATGCTTCATCTTAATGATAGTAAATGCAGAAAGTTTTTAACCTATAGATATATATTTTGGTTACTGTATATAGAATATTTTCATTTTATTGAGAATTTTTTATACAGAACAACAATTTTAGTGCCATATGTAGCTGCTATATACAGTACAATATTCAGATTTTATCAGATTGCTTTTATATTACATTTAGATAGAGACATTGTCTGATGTTTTGAGAAAGCTAAGACAGTCAGCTCTGTACTTAAAGAGATCTTCTTGTCAAATAACTATTCAGGTCGTCCACAAAAGAATGTCATTACTGTACTTCAACCATTGAGCTACGAAGAAGTTCATGCAAACGCTGGTACAAATAAAAAATTTTACTGACCTTTGTGATTTTTGTTAATGGGTCTATACCTGTTGTTGTGGCTGTGTTAAAGTTGATGACACAGACTCAACACCACCACCAGGCAGCAAATGTTCCAGGCTGACCATTGGCATTTACCTTGTGATGAGACTACCAGACCAGTGGGTAGTGGACTATATGGCCTGTCATATACTTCCCCCATTTGATGTACTGCACTTGAACCTTTTTCTCCACACCTGTATCTAAGCCACAAGACCCATTGGGCTATATCATGACAGTTGGGAAAAATTTATTATTTGTGCTGTTATTTACCAAACACTTATCTTCCTGTGTTTAGCTAAGAAAGATTTATCAGTAGTTGAGGAATGGATGTTATCTTTTGTGAATACCCAGTACCTCTACAGTACTTTTATATCTTTATAATTCAGTAAAATTCTGGGGATTCTTTTTTGATTTTTTACCAAGTTGTTGATAGTTTGCTTCATAAATTCAAAAAATATCTCTCTATCATTTGGTACTTCTATCTATTAATGAAATAATGTACAAATTAAGTGTTGTGTTTAATTAATTACATGTAGCAGGAGAATTATTGTAGCTAAACAGTGATTTGATACAGTTTATACAGATATGTTAAGTAATCATGGTACTATATTATTAAGGTCTCTCTCTCTCTCTCTCTCTCCGCTACTACTATTACTACAAGAAACGGTGACAGTATGGACACAAATTGAATGGAATCAACTACAGTAAATCTAAATAAATAGTAGAAGAATATGAACAGTTATATAAACCTTAAGCAAAAAGACAGACAGACAAACACGATCCTTACAATGAAAACAGATCTCACCCAGACCCACTTAAAATGACAAAGAGGGTCCAAACTTAAACAAAAGACTGTCAATTTTAAATAGAAGTTCTTCCCCTTGTAGGTCTTGGGTTATGATTACAGTATATTATAGGTCATGGGTTACAGGTATTATAGGTCCTGGGCTACGAGTATTATAGGTCCTGGGCTACGAGTATTATAGGTCCTGGGCTATGAGTATTATAGGTCATGGGTTACGAGTATTATAGGTCCTGGGCTACGAGTATTATAGGTCCTGGGTTACGAGTATTATAGGTCCTGGGCTATGAGTATTATAGGTCATGGGTTATGATTATATTATAGGTCCTGGGCTACGAGTATTATAGGTCCTGGGCTACGAGTACATAGGTCAGGCTATGAGTATTATAGGTCATGGCTATGAGTATTATAGGTCCTGGGCTATGAGCACATAGTCATGTTATGATTATATTATAGGTCCCACATGAGTATTATATAGGTCCTGGGCTACTTATATTATAGGTCCTGGCCACGCAGTATTATAGGTCCCACATGAGTATTATATAGGTCCTGGCTACGTAGCATTAGGAGGGTCCTGGCCACGAGTATTATAGGTCCCACATGAGTACAGGTCCCAAGGTATGAGTGGCTATAGGTCCTAGCTACAGGTAATATAGGTCCCTGGGCTATGAGTACAGGTAGTCCTGGGCTACGAGTATTATAGGTCATGGGCTATGAGTATTATAGGTCATGGGCTATGAGTATTATAGGTCCTGGGCTATGCATTATAGGGTCATACAGATTATATTATAGGTCCCGGCCATGAGTATTATAGTCCCCACAGTATTATAGTAGGTCCGGGCCATGGTATTATAGGTCCTGGGCTGTGAATATTATAGGTCCTGGGCTACAGGTATTATAGGTCCTGTTGCCATATTATGGGTCCTGGGCTACTATATTATAGGTCCTGGCCAGAGGCTATAGGTCATGGTCACGAGGCTAGGTCCTGGCTACGAGAGTATTATAGGTCCTGGGCTACGAGTATTATAGGTCCTGGGCTACGAGTATTATAGGTCTGGGCTACGAGTATTATAGGTCCTGGGCTATGAGTATTATAGGTCATGGGTTATGTATTATAGGTCCTGGGCTACGAGTATTATAGGTCCTGGGCTACGAGTATTATAGGTCCTGGGCTACGAGTATTATAGGTCCTGGGCTATGAGTATTATAGGTCATGGGTTATGATTATATTATAGGTCCTGGGCTACGAGTATTATAGGTCCTGGGCTATGAGTATTATAGGTCCTGGGCTATGAGTATTATAGGTCCAGGGTTATGAGTATTATGGGTTCTGGGTTGTCACTATAGGGTTTAAGTTACTACTACAGTTAATGGAAAACGCGGGATGAAGGTATTTGTTGCTAATTAACGTCAATGAAGCTTAAAATTATCCAAACAGGAATTATTTCACTATATTATGGTAAGATTATTGCTAAATATGTGGAATAAATTAATACATAAACAGACGCCTGCCGTATCTCAAGCTTTCTATTATTGTCGCCAGAGGGTTAAAATAACTTAGAGTCTTGTGGGGCCAAATATGATAATCATTTTGTATTTAACCTTTGGATTTAGTTCATTTTAGGAGGTTAAACCTTTTTAATTATTGGATAAAGAAAGGTTTAACTCCATTATGAGCGTTATGGTCTTGCTCTCATTCTCTTCTGTATGGGATTTCAGATGTGACCTTTAGTATTTCTTTTCTCTAATAGATGGCGTTTGTAACCTGTATAAATAACATCTAGTTACTGTTATGTGGTAAAAGAGTTGATGGTCTGAGTTAACTAATACCACATAATGAGACACTAAACTCGACCTCAGTTGACATTCTTAGTTTCCAGTCACTCACATTAGAGGATCTGTCGTCGGCGCGAGAGGTAGGAAGTAAACATAGCTCCAGGCGAAAGGCAATTGTGTTGTGTCCTGACTCTGAATTTTACACGCCTCCTCAGCCGTAGTGATTTATTACCCACCAGGATGAATTATCACAATACTGAAGAAATTGTCGCCTCAACCACCACGATCAACCAACAACCAGTTTACGATCACCTCATTGTTGTCTCCCAGGTCAACCACTACCAGTCTTTGTCTATCTTCAGGTCATTATATACACCTGAGCTAATTTACAGGTGAGTTCCCACCAGGTTTTAATTACTTAGTTCATACACATGGTCATCGAAAAATAATTTATTTTGCCGAAGCGCTCGAGGTGTGTTACGGCGTAGGGAAAAACATGAAGGGAAAATATTAAGCCATTATAGACCGTCACTGAATATACTGAATTACATTTTTTAATTATTTAAGTGTTAAACCTATATTTATTACCATCATGGTTAACACTGGTTCAAGACTAGTTTGACTTATGATATAGATAGGTGTTTTTGTCTCGATGACACGGGTAGACAACTTTTAATATACCTTAGAAATTTTCACTCGTTCCAGAACAAGTCTCCCGAAAAATATATATATTTTACTAGTCAGTTTGATCTCGGCGTTCCCTCTCGTTATGGAGGCGTTATCTTCAGTCCTCCTAGTTGAGCCGTTTATAAATTCTGTTGAAAGACTAGTTGCTTATCCCTCTGAGAACGATGATTGAGGCTCTGAAACTCCCGAGTGCTGAGCACATGATCCCTGGTGCCGGTTACTTCTATTTTATGGGGAGAATTCTTGCTCTACTGTACGCTGCTGCCTCCTCTTCCAATTCGGGAAAGGTGTGAAGACTGAGTGGGGTGTTAGGAGTGAAGGAGTTAGTAATGGCACACATAACAGGTACTATCTAGGAACGAATAGAAGGTAAATCGGTCTCTATTCGCCCTCTCCCTAAGGTTGTTCCACTTAAAGATTAACCACCCTGGTGATATCCTCTCTTCCTCCCTTTCCTCCCTGCCAAGTAGCGTTTAGGGTGTTTAGTCATGATGTGAAATAATCTTCCAGGCGAGGCTAATCTTCGGGTGATCCCTTAGGAGGTGGTATCGAAGCTCATAAACAATGTAGGACCTTAGAGTCGTTCAGCTGTAACAAGGGATTATTGAAGAAAGAGAAAGTTTGCCCTCCCGCACACCCCCAGCCAGACAGACACCTGGGAATAAGATGTTTCGTGTGGTCTGGAAGTGTTGGGGGAAGAATTGAAGTGGAGTTGATCTTGGCCTTGGTAGTGCAGCCACTGATTGAGGTGGGAGGAGAGGAAGGTGGTTGTTTGCTGTTGACTTTGTAGTACAGTAAATATGGTTTAAGTTTGGTTATATAAGGTTAGGTTAGTTGACGCGAGAATGAGGAAGGAAGGTAGGTGAGGTTAGGTTAATTGACCTACCAATATACCATCACCACATCACGAACATATCACCAAGATCACCATCACCAAGATCACCACCACCATCACCAAGATCACCACCACCATCACACCACTATCCCCACCAGGTTATGGTTGAGGTCTGGCTATTCAAGGGAGTTAGTCGGTGTCAGCACTACTGACTCGCTGCAGCTACACGGTCATTGGAGGAGTCTCCAGCTGCTCACCACTCCGCATGACTTCTCTCAGTAGCCGTAAAATGGGACCTTCACAAGCTTTAGTATTTCTGTCTGTTTCTCTCTGGTAGTTGTTCTCTCAGGAAATCAAACTCTATCTTGCCTTATTTACATATTTCAACTCAGAACTTACTTCGGGTTTTGATGAGATATAATTCCCCGCTCGAGTAACTCGTGACAGCCTCGTCATAGTAAACAAACCTCTAAAATCGCCCTTTTTATCGTATTATTTTTGTAAGGTTTAAAATCATTTTAATTGTATCGGAATGTAGAGTTGTTGGTCCGCTGATATTTTAAACTCTTGACAAATCTCTTGAGGCGAGACTCCCAGAGCAACCAAAATTACGCTTTTCAAAAGAAAATGAAGAAATTAGTTACACTTGTTCATGAGTCAGGAACAGCGCTGGGGAGTATGTCGTAAGATAATTATATGAATGAACCACGTAGGTGTATCTTTGAGGGAGATCATGATAGAATTTTATTTATTTTTTTGGTCAAGAAAGAGGATTATGATCACTAATAATTGCACTGAAGTTGTTGTTTTGTGAATGATGTTACCATTTTCTATGAAGAGTGTGTGATGATAGTCACGTTGGACTGAAATCAGATTTG